TTTTTGGAAACAATGTTTCATAGCAAAAGAACTTGTGTACCTTGGGACAATTTTTTTTACAGAATTATTTTGCAAATACTATCGAGAACTTAATCTGAAAATTTGAGGTGCATGGGTAAAACAGTTTTAATTTTAAGTATGAAGTATAAAGTTCCAAAAAAACGAGGGAATATCTTGATGGATTTACGGCGTTCTTGTTTAGCACGGTAGCGTAATTCCCATGAATCCCCATGAAATTTTCATGGGAACCCATGGGACATAGGTATTTAACAGAGCTGCAATGGAAAGTTTTCTCTGGGATTTTTAGCTGTCTGTGTTCCTACTAGCCTGGAAATTTGAATTTTCCCCCAGAAAACCCCGTTTTTTTTAAGGAAAATCTAGATTTTCGGGAAATTTTGGGGTGATCGAGAAAAAGACATGGTCATTTCCGAGATTCAGCATTTAAGATGAAAGCTAGCCACAAATCGCACCCCTGCCACCAAACTAAAGTCTGGCACTACCACCGACCACTGCTAGCAAAAATCCTCTTGGCAAAGCACGACTTGGAATTTGGAATCAACGAACATCTTTGAGCTAAAAACCCTTTAGAAAGTACTCTACAGAACAAGTCAAAAACTGGAGGATTTTGAACCACAAGTCATATAATCGGGCCTGGGTAAAAAAAGGACGATGAATGAGGTCTTATCCTGTCCTGCCGAGGAAAAACGACATATCGACGGTGAAACTACCAAACCACGTACCTCGTTTGCGGTGTTTAAAAATCTACGCTCACATTTCATTTTTTTCAAGTAGACCAAATCAATATCATTCCTTGAAATTTTCACAGAATTTTCTCCGCACGAAGAGGAAAAATCACAGAAATTTTCAAGACTGGGCGTTAAGTAGTTTTTCATTTAAAAAATGAAGTATCACAGGAAGTCTGCGACGTCGCAAACCGAGATACGTGGTTTGGTAGTTTCACCGTCGATATGAGCATTTAGACGCTGCCAGATTTTCTTTAACCAAAGCCGAATTTACTGGGAACATTTTGCACATTTTACTTAAAAATTCTCAGACAATTTTGTTCGCAATCTGATCTAAAACGACTGAAAATTTCAAGGAATAATACGAATAACTTTCCTCAAAAACATGCGTTTTATCTGGGGAAATTTGGCAACTCTCGAGTGTTCATACGGCGTTTTTCCTTAGCACGGCAGTATTGTCGTTCTCGAATCGAAGAAACCAAATCCACTTAACGACAAGTGTGTGTGCTTTCCAAAGCGACGTTCTGCTGAGGGCGAGACTCCCGTTTCCAGTGGCGTGGCGTGCTTTGCGATATATCGATTTTTATGCCATTCAAACCTATGAAAAAGGATCGATAAACAGGGTGTTCGCAGCGAACGCCTTAATAATCGATTCTTTACCGTAGGTTTAAATGGCATAACAACCGATGTATCGCAATTCACGCCACGCCACTGCCCGTTTCGTGAAGGATCACGACGATCGACGAGTGTGAATGTGGGTCAAAATGCGACTTCTCCACTTAAAATATTGCGTAACCGCGAGAGGAAGGAGAGCTCAATAGGTGCATGGAGGGAGAAGGGGGTGAAAAAAAATCTGCTCGATAGACAGTCCAGCTTAGTGTTGGGGATTTTTAATCGATTTTTTCACGAAATCGATTTTTTCAATAAAATAATCGGAAAAATCGAATCGATTTTTCTGAGTCGAATAATCGTGTAAATCGATTTTTATTAGCAAAATCGATTTAAACGAAGAAAGACCGATTTAAACCGAGTTTCCACGAAGAAATTTCTCTCGGCGCGCTTATTATTTCCGATTTCTAATCGTTTTTTAAAAGAATCGATGGGAAATCGATTTTTTTAAAAATCGATTTTTCTTGGTTGATTTTAATCGAATTTATCGATTTTTTTTTAAAAAATCGAATCGATACGATTAATCGATTATTTTGAAAAAATCCCCAACACTAGTCCAGCTCCAGCTTGGCTTGACTAATCGAGCTCGGGGACTAAGAACCCTTCTTGACAATCCTCAATTTTTTAATGCAACCTACCTCAGTACCGTTTCTCGTCATCCCCGCAGTATCAGCATACTGATGAAGTGGGAGCAAGACTAGTTACAAAATCGCAGAGCAGAGACCAGGAGGCTCTCCCACCACCACCCCTATGGTGGAATTTACCAAAATTTTTCTTCCTAAAACTTTTTTGAATCTACTTGAATTGAACTAAAATCTAAAGTACAGTGATTGNGGGGGGGGGGGGGGTGTGCGCTTACACCATTGGCGAAAATTTCAGCCTCCTCTTGCAAAATCCGCCTTGTGGTTCGGTTTGGTGGTTCCTCACTTTGTCAATATGAAGAGCAGAAACTTTGAAGCCTGTCAGTTTTTTGTACAGGGTTTTCTTTTCTATTCTTTTCTTTTTTTTTTTAAATTACAACATCAATTTTTAAATCATGATAGTTGAAACGATATTCCGAAACGGCGAAGTTCGGAAAACCCTGGGGCCGAATTTTCTTCGTCGGTCGGTTCTTTCACATGAAGTGCAACATCCGTCGCTGAGTCCAAACCGCACTGCCAGCCAATCAGAAGCGCTGAGCCGGGCTTAAGTGCAGTTGAGACTCGCTAAGTATATTTCAGTAAGTACGGTGGAAGGACCAACGAAATTCGGCCCCTGTGACACTTGATACTGAAGCTTGCAGCCGTGAAGTAGGTACAGGCGCACCCTTTTAGGTTTCTAGTTCGGGAGGTTGCGTAATTCGTCGTTCCTCTGACGGAAGGGCGTATCTCGATTTCCACTTGAGCCCTGTTGTCCATATGACGCCATGCTTTTCGGGGCTCATTTAGAAATAGAGATACGCCCTTACGTCACAGGAGCGACAAATTGACCCACTGCGTCTACATTACGTCACTCGCCTTTCCTATTGTCATAGTTCCACACACACACACACACACCCTCACACACAACTTTATCGAGATTATGAGTAAGTTTTGCGAGGAGTGATAAGTTAATAATAGATGATTAACTAATGATTGGCCGCAGCTCATAATTTCCCCCTTTGTTCCACTCACAATGAATGAAACGATAAGCTTGGGAGGAAAGTTAAAAGCTGCGGATTCAGATATTGTGATAAGTTGGGTACTGAAGATTCGCGAACGCAAAACGCGCGGGGATGCGGGTGGTTGGGCGAGGGAAAGAGAGCGTTGAGAGTACTTGCACAGATAATTTCGAGTAAGAATACTCAAAAATGGAAAGGCGAGGACGAGATATTTTTTTCTACTTCTTCTCCTCAAGGACGGGAATTATATTCAGATAATTTCCTTCCCCTGGAGATCAGAAAGAAAAAAAATTAATCCTGCAGTTTAAGGACAAAATGTTTACAATATTTAGGCAAATATTGGGGGGAGGGGGGAGAGCGGGTGTTAATGCTCGAAAACAACCTCACTGAGAGAATTATTTAGTTTTTGTTTGAATGAGTATCCAGGAGCAGTAGGTGCGTCATTATAAAAGAGAGGAGAGAGATGATTTGTTTTGTAAAATAGATGAGTGATCTCTTGAGTCCGCTTGAGAATAAATAACATAACATGACTTTTCCAATTTTTTGACACCCACCCATCCCTTACAATAAAACTTAAAAAAATTTTTTAGTTTGGCATTTAAGTAAGAGGATAAATCAACTCGATAGCTAAAAGAAATTGTAGGAGTGAAACATTATACAACCACTGTGATTAAAATAAACCACTAAAATGCAACCACCGCAACAGAACTGTGATAGATTGAGGCATCTGAATCTTTCTTCATAACCTATTACTCCCTTTATGACTAAGAATTTCCAAGAATGTGGTACACTAGTTAAAGCCCCCCCAATATTGTGGGTGGGATTTTCTCCGATGCAATTGAAATTATAGTTCCTGTTCCGCTTTAGGCGTATATTTTTTAACTTCCTGTTAACGATACTTAGGGCTTAAAGTTTACACTCTTCAGAGAGAAGCGTTTAAAGAACTCTTTAAGTACCTTGTACTTAAAAGGGGCTTGGAGGACCGGGTGCATAAGTGCAGTTTTTGAGAGAAATTTAGATATGAATGATTTCAAGTGAAACTAGTCTTGATGCCAATTCTGAGAAAAATTTGCTCCTGAATTGTAATTTTTAAGCGCCAAAAAGTCAGTTTGAACTTTTTTTTGCCGCAAGGACTCATATAATTTCGAGACTTTAAACTCGTATTTCTCAAAATAGAAAAAACTGCATTTGTGCACCTTGTCCTCCAAGCCCCTCATATCTCCTCCATTAATCTGATCCTTTGCTGACTTATAGAGCACTCTAAACACATTCAGTTAAGAACGTTAAAAGTGAGTGAAAAAATTACATAGAGCTGATTGGGTGATGATTCCAGTTGAATAAGAGTTGAATAAAGGTGTCGGTGGGCAGAACCAGAGAGAAGCTGTGAGCACCTGCACCCCCCGTCCGTTCTCCTAATTCTATTCCGCCCCTTCAGAAAATTTCAGGACTTGGCAAAAAAACCAACACATGTCAAATTTGAAATTTTATTTCGACAGATTTATCACTGAGAAGAGCTCAAAATTCCTCCAAAGACATGTCAATTTTCAAAATTCTCCCCAGGATCCACCCTTAAAGCTGCGGAAATGCCTTTAGACACTACTTGGTAAGGTGCCTCTCTGTGCCCCCCCAGAGCCCCAGACCTTCCTGGATGAGGTGCCCTCCCCTCCTTGGCACCCTCTTACAAGAAATTCCAAATTCCACCCTTGGAAGTATCCACTGGGGAAAGAAATAACAGAAGGTGATGGGTTAATTTTACCATAGCTCATCAAAAAGGGCAAAATTTAACAATTGTCCTGCAGGTCCTAGAATGAAGATGGATCCTGCTTGCAGGGGCATACTTGCTGCAGAAAGGGTATAGTTGCTCTTCATCTATCACATTTTCCTCAGGGGTGAAAGCATCTCATGCAAACAGAAATAGAAATAAAGTTGATATACTTCATTTTACTCACCATTTTCGCTATGTTTAGCCATGACCATGGAATATTCTGAGCCTTGCTATTGACTAGGTAACTAATTTCTATTGGTGAAAAAATCCAAAAACACAAGCAAGGTCCCCACGTCAAAGCTGTCTTCTGGAAGCAGGGAGTGAAATCTGGATCGGGCGTGTTCCATGAAACATCAGGATCCTGTAAGAAATGATGAACATTGAGTATTAAATGGAAAAGACTGAAGACAATGAATCATATTTTTTGGGTAGAAAGCTGGACGATTACTTGAGGGCTGGGTGGACACGGAGGATAACAAATTATATATTTGGTTCTTTAAATTTATATGAAGTTTTTTTAATAAAAAAGAAATACAAATTTTGAGTGTTTGTATGCAGTCGCTTCACAAGCATCAAGATTGCTTTAGTGTATTTGCACTCAACACCGAGAGAGACCTTGGTTGCAGCAAAAGCACTAGCAACTTGTAAACGTAAAAATGGGTGAGAATTGTGACACAAAAGTCGCAAAGGGTGTCTCAAATTGAGACATTTCTAAACCTCCACTATAGTTTCACTTTTATGAAAATGCAAGCAGTGTGATAATTGGAAATTTTGACATAATATTCTGTGCAGAATGAAGAAAAATGAAAAATGGTAGATTTGGTTGATTTTTTTTATTGAGGATAGGACATGCAACATGAGACCTGGAATGTTACAGATAGAGATGCGTTCTTTGAGACGATCACCATTGTGAGTATATTGTGACTGTTGTTCATGGATTCGAGAGGTATTAACTTATAAATATGACTGAATACAACCCTGTCTCTTTTCCTTGATGCTCAGCTCTTCTTCAATTAGTCGTGAATCTGAGAAATCGCCACAAAGGACAAGAGAGCTAAATAAACTGATGATTTTGGTTTTCAGCTTATTGAGCTGCAAGGAAGTTTTAGCAGAGTCTGCAGTGTAGTTATACTCAGTATAAATAATATATTCCTCATCTGACATAGCCTTCAATGCTTTTCATTAAATGAAGAGTGAGGAAATAAAATTCCTATGCCTGATTTTCACACGGAGCACACAGTGCGAGCTCCCATCCTACGATTGATATTCAGAAGGGAAACGGAGCGTTTCGGTCTGAAAGTATCAATTGAGCCCCTCCTTTTGAAGAGAAAGCAAGGGACAAAATTTAGGATGGCCACAAGAGTGGACGGTGTGGGTCATGAGTCGTTACTGACAATATGCAACATGAGGTACATAACCTTCAGCCTTTCGCTACCACTGGTATGCACTCCTAGAAAACCAAAAAGCATGCCAATCATGCTTGATGAATTGTCTGAATGATGAGGAGATGAACTTACCCAAAAAGAAGAGTTGGGACCACAAACGTCGTCCAAAATCATGGTAAAATGACTAATTTATTCACGATTAATTCCACAAAAATAATAAGTGCTATCATCTAGCTTTTATTCACTGAAATCTGATCACACCTTCACCCACGCTGTCAAGCGGCATACCGCTCGATAGTGACGCAATATGCACGGAGCACAAGTCTTAACGTATTTTAAACCCAAACATGAAGTTAATTTTACAAATATTATCTCTGTTTCAGGATGTTATCTAAATACGAATAGATAAAGTTGAGCACCTGCTTGCACCACTTGCAATAACACTCGAAAGTCAGATTGTTTGGAGGTTAGGATGCCGAAAATAAAGCGTAGGGGTAAAGAAGGAGGGGCTTCACAAAATCCATTGCCTGATTGGATGGCAACACGATAGCAAAAAGCGCGGGATCGAATAGCGGCAAAACTAATAAGCTGGCGGGAGATCTAAAAAACTAAATGAACACGCGCGGAGCGCTTTCTTCAAGAATGATTTCTTCTATATCGCAGCACAGTTTGAATTACTCGTTAACACATGACTAGAGGTTCATTTAGGTACTAAGCCCAAGGTTTGCACGCATTTAGTTTATACGGATATATGATCTCCGAGTTTTTAATGGATGATTTCCAAAAAATTAAATACATGGGAGGTGAACATTTACTTTAACTGAATGAATGTCTCTATGAATGCTTTTTTCATTTAAGTAGGTAAGTTGCCTAAAAGTTGCCCATTTTACGGCTCAGGTAATTCTACCAACATTTATACCATCTTTTAAACAATAAAGCTTTCGTCTATCTATACAATTCCAACTTATTATGAGGAAGTAGGACTAAACAATTATGTATTCTGAGGACACACTATTTGTGGATCTGTTTTTTCCCCCTCTAAATCATCCAAAAAGACAAAGATTCCTCTATAAAAAGCCATGAACTGAAACAGGTTATTTAGGAATCTAAAGATTAGAGAGGTTTAAAAGAGAGTTCATATATTACATAGCGCATGCAGGAAGGAGGTTAAATTTCAAAAGGAGAACGCTTTTGGTCCACAATTTATTAGAAAACAATGAAAATGAAGGAAAGAGAAGTTCTGCCGAACACATACGAGTGATCAAGACCCCTCTTGACTACCAGGCGTTTCTCTCAAAAATTACGGGAGTTAAACCTTCCAAATGTAGCGAGCTTGAGGTCCTCCAATACCTCACCGGTGAAGCTTTGAGGGGCCGGAGTACTATCAAATTCAGATTTTTTGGAGCCAATTTCGTACCAAGAAAATATACTTTTTTCAAGCATCTGCATCAATTTGATATTTTGTGGAGGGGGTTTCTGTCCCCCTCGGAGGGGTCAGTATTTTGGACATGGATAGGCCAAGTTTATACTTTTTCATGTCAAGATTGGCTAAAATTCTCAGTAAGTTCCAATTTTTACAGATTCATCTCAATTTTATGCCTCAGAACCTTGAAATTTAAAATTAGGATCACAACCAAGGGTGAACCGGTGAGTAGGGAGAGGGTTTTGGGACGATGAAATCCGGATTCCTTGGGATTGATGATCTGCGCTCTGACAAACTGAACTAAGAACAGGAAATTTGAATTCTCAATTGATCTCCTTGTCTTTCGATTTTCTACCGGAAGAAAACTTGCTATTCGGTCATTACTTCCACTCGATGTACAGGCCTTCCTCTACTTTTTTTAATTCTTCTTATACTTTGTACTTTACTTTAAGTCACAGGTTTTTTCCAGGCCTTGAGTCTTCCGTCATGTTTTTGCTTGAGCACATATATAATGACACTGCTCATCAGAAGTATGCATCACCCAAAGCAAGCCTCCCAGCTGGCGCTTTTTATTAGGACAGTCGGATAGTAGACAAGACACGGAGTACTTAAGCATCAAAATCTAGCACTTGCATTTCCCTGGAGAGACCTCCTGGTGTTTGGTTGTACTTTTTCACTGACACATTTCCTTCTTGCAGAGAAATCACTTCAGAGAACTTTCCACACATATTGAAATTCTGCTCCTCTCTTGTAACTCCCGTCCTAGTTTGGTTCTCTGTTTGTTTCAGTGGGACCAATTGTTTTCTTAGAAAAAAAAGTACAATGGCCGATGCTTAGCAAAAGGAGCAAATAGTTTTTCTACTTCTACTTTCATTTAAATAAGCTCACTTGAAATAAACAAGTTTATCAAACAATAATTCAGTCTGTGAAAATTTTATTCGTTTTTTGGTCTGCAGTATATCGTTATTCTTCAAGTAAAAAACAATATCAAAGATACAATTGATTTCAGTCTTTATCAGTTCCTCCTGAGGATGGTGAGTGAATTCCTATAAGAAACTATAAGTAATTGATGAGAAATAAAAGAATATGAACAAATGATCGGGAGGATAAGGCACAAAAAAAAGGTTTAAGAATGAACGGGCATTCAAAGATGCTGCTTTCTAGCAGAAGGCTCTCAATGAAAGGAAGGGGGGGGGGGGCTGGACCCTTGAAATCAACTCTGAATTCTTGGGATCATAAGGTTCAACAATCAAGGTTTACAAAGAGAATGAGATGAAAGATAAGTTGAAACCTGAGAGAAATATAAGGGTTTTGAAATCTTAACATACTTCCACAAATGAGATTATTACAGATAAAAGGAAAACTTAAAATTATTTCAGAACATATTGATGAAAACTTACTATTACATGGAGGAACTTACCCAACATCAGCTATTCTTAACCTGAGCCTTATCATCAAAATATTTGTAGGGTTGATAGAGAATCACTCTTTGAGTAAAGAGCGGCGAACAATTTTAAGGAATTCTTCGCAAGCTATTAAACTTTCTCTAATTCTCTGGCTCCCAATCACTAATCATCACTCAGAAGAAATCTACAATTATGAGAGTTTCTTCATGATTTTTTACACATTGATGTGAAACAGCAAAGATGCGTATCAAAATGGTGGTGTTTCAAAATCTCCGTTCCCGTTTTATTTAATCATAGTAGAGCTAACTGAGACTATTACTTGAAATTTTCACAGGATAGTCTTCAACCAGGGAGAAAAAATTTGGGAAGTTTTTGAGAGGTAACATCGAGTATTTTTCCTCTGAGAAATAAATTGTAACAAGAGATTTGCTACTTCGCAAAGTGACATGTGCGTTTCTGCAGTTTCACCTTCAATATAACATCTCAGTAAGTGTAATCAACGACATTTAACAACTTAATATTTAGACAGAGACAACTTATATGTAGTAACCTAAGAATACCACTGAATTTGTCAGAATTAGAAAATTTTACGTCACAGCCATTAGAGCTCATGCGCTAAATTTTAATTAGCAAAGATCAAACTACTTGAGTAGCTGACAGTATGTTTTCCTGGTGGTCACAAGCACGACAAATGTTATGCCCATTCTAGGGGCCAAAATCTTTCTGAAATGCTCCTGGATTTGAAACTGCACTCTTCCAAAGTCAAAGAAATCTTGTATAGATTGATGTTAACAATGCAACCAATAAAAAATGGTAGAAACAAGTTTAACAATAGATTTTGTGCTCTGCATGATGAAAATCAGAAGATTCAAAAGCAAAATCGAAGAGGCTAGGAAAGATTGATATCGGGATGAACCATCATTTCTTTAAAACATGTTTGTATGTTAGCCAAGAGCAAAGACTAGTCATGGCTAATACTCCAGTCCTGAAACAGTAAAAATTAGAGAAAATTATATAAAGAACATCCAATAAGACTGTCTTCAAAAAAACGACCCCCAAAGGTGAGGAATGGGGCACTAATTGTTAATGTTTGTATAATTGTATAAGTCCTAATTGTTTATGTTCTCAAGCCGCAATTAAAATGTTAATGTATTTTATCGGTTTGGAATTAAAGTTTTATCAACGTAAGTTTTAAAGTTGTCACAGCTGTTTGTTACTAACAATTAAACATTTGACGAGGTCGCTTGCAAAAGGGTTAAATAGTACCTGAAATGCGAATTACCTAGTAACGTGTTCCTCTTTTTCATTGAGTAGAGACAATACGCTATCGATGTAATAGTGAGCCCTGATCAAGTTAACCAAATATTTTTATATTATTTCTAAGGGCAGTTTAACAAGGATCTGAAAAATCAAAATTTGTTACCGGAAAAAACATTTTTTCTAAAAGAGTTTTAGAGAGAATCGAGTGTTTAATTTTTAGAATTACAACAAAAGTTAATTAATTAAATTTAATTAATTTTGACTTACCACACAGCTGCCTTGGCTATTGGCGAATGCTTAAACCTATTAAAAGATGACACCTTAAGGTGCTTGCTGTTTTTGAAGTCCCTTAGGATATCTTGTGCACTGAAAAATAAGAAAAAAAAGTATTTTAAAGCAGCAAATACGCAATAATTTGAAAAAATAGATTTAAAAACAAGCTTTTACAGCTCGATTATGAAGTCTCTTTTTCCTTCTCAAAAAACTGTTTGAAAATTTGCAAGGGTACCCCTTATTGGCAAACTATCTTTACAACGTCATATCTCAAGAAACTGTTGACCAAATAAGCACTACGTGGACTTTTCTGGAAGATAATTAGTCATTCTTGAAGACTAAAGAGGTCAAATTTTGCTATTGTTGGTAGCTGATCTGAAGGGATCCGAGGATCAGCCACCACTTTCTGGTGGAGTTGAGGAATGTAAATCAGATTAAAAAAACAAGCAGGAGGGATTCACTCTACAAGGATTATTAGGCTAGGCTATATGAAGTAAAAAAAGGAAAATGGTATAGAGATACAGGAGGGAAACTCTGATAGAGAATATATTGTAAGGGCTTGCACTTGGCAGGCGAGTGTTGCACGCTGCCGAGCAACGAACCCAACCATTAAAATCATTAAAAAAGGGGAGAAATAATCTTTTTTCAACTAACTCTTTGACAGCACTTAGAGATTTGGTGCTTCAAGAAATATTGTTGAGACTAATTGATAATTACCATCCATGCGTTGATACAGCAACCAATGCTGACCCACTTGAATACGGTTTCACATCAACAGAACCATACCTTGCAAATAACTCTGTAACCTGGAAAATAAATATAGATCCATCTCTGTTAGTAAAGACGTAATTTACCAAACTAGTAACAGCTATCAAGAGCAATTAACTGGTGATTTTTGAGCTGTTCATTTATCTGGAGGTTTTATACGCCCCGCAAAGTTTTAAATAACTCATACACTTACACAGAATTTTGTTTTGCTTTTACTAATCTGATTCTCCATTGAATTTTAATTGAATTTCAGGCAGAGCGCATTAAAAAATATGAATTAATTATGATAAGGGTCATTTAACTAAAGGTAAAGCTCTAAATAGTTGACACATACAAAGTTTGATGTTTAGTAGAAAGTGTGGGATACTGAGAATGTAAGGGACAAAAAACTCATTACTTTCACCACCACAATGTAAAGAGTTATTTGAAAAAAGGAAGAGATAATCTCTTTTAAAACAATCCATTATTTTTGCAAACTTTGTTTACATTCTAACCGGTGTACAATATGTACAAATTTTTTTTTAGTTTTTCTGCATTTATTAGGGTTATAAAAGAGAAGGCAAAAAAGGAATAAAAGTGGAACAGCAGCTTTGAGTACGATGTGATAGTATTTCACTGCTATACATTTTATTACCTTGTTTAAATCGATAGGACAAGAAAAATTTCTAGAAGCCACATATAGAAGTTCTGGTCTGGTTGAAAGTGGATCATCACCCTCCAGATTCTGGGAAAAGAGACAATAATAAGGAAATTTAGAGTGAGGAAAGAACAAAAAAAATCTTAGCACTCTGAGTGAGTTCATCTTTGTGAGTAAAATGTAACCTGAAACAAACGAGAAGTAACTTACAAAAACATGGGATGTAACTGAACATTGACTCCCTTTCCTTTGTGCAAACGGATCTCTTGGGAGGTTCATGTATTCACTTGTGGTACTTTTGCCTTACGTTTTTTTAAAATTTTGCATAAGTACCTACCCAAAGTAATATAACGAGATGTGTAAAGAAATAATTATGATAGTTAAGAAAAGTGTACAGTAAGAAAGGCAAATGTAAAATCTGACACAATCTTTCTTCTTTTGAAAGAGAATTTTTAAAAACAGAACCATGGTTACATCATTCAAAATATTGCTGGCCTGAATTTCTAAGGCTGCACTTCCTTCCAATTACGTCTGTTTTTTATTCCTTCTTTTTGTCTCCACTATTACTACTACTACTACTACTACTACTACCACTACTACTACTACTACTACTACTACTACCACCACTACTACTAATACTACTACTACTGCTACTATTATTGCTCTTTTTCTTTCTTTGATATTGCTCCGATTCCTGTTTTACAGACCCTTATGGGTACATGGAACATAGTTTAAAAACTGCTAGTTTTAAAGTGAAACAGGACGTTTAGAGACAAACACACCATATTCTTTAAAGCCTTTAGAACTTATTAGCATTATAGTCCAGGTTTCAATACTTTTGATACCGTGCTTGAAGTAAGCATCTGTAGGTGGAACCTATTTTTAATCACAAGCTTTAAAAAATTCCAACCTGAAAGATTTACTGTGAAATAATCATAGATATCTCCGTAATGAGAGCCTCCCGGTGAAGTTTCCTCTCACCTCTATCTGCTCAGCCAAGTACAAGAAAATCTATAAACTAAAAAATACTGACAGATATTAAAGGACCCAGAACTTACCAAGTTGGAAATGTTTGCTCGAATTAAATTTACTCTTCCTCGCATGTGTTTGATTGCGTTAAATATTTCAGTGCAGGTCAACATTCGTGAGGCTTGAAAAAATTTGTTCTCCTTATAAACAGCAAACATGTTTGCGATTTTGACAAAACAGTACCCTGTCACAAAAGAATCCCAACCAGCCTCATGGTATTTTATACAGCTCTCTGGAAGAAGAAATTTTTGAGATAGTATTTGAGATGACAGTAGAGTCCAAGTTTACGGAGGTTCATTGAAGGAGTTAAAATCAGTACACATAATGAGCTGTGAATGAAACAGATAAATATAGTTGCAGGAGTCAAATTGATTTAGTCGCCAACATTGCAAGCCACAGGAGCAAGGTAAATACAGTGATGAGAACAATAGTAGTTTTTATGTCTGCTAAAAGGACACGAATAAAATCATAATTTGTTTGTTTCTCATGGTCATTGTTTAAGGCCGGAATCTTCTCCTCCTGAAAAAAACCAGAAATGTACTTACCATCAATGTCATCAGTGAAGTTAATGGATGGTGAGTATATGACCATACAGGTGCCTTTCCCTTTCTTGAAATAATTATACAGCTCTTGCAAAGTGTTTACAGTCCATGCATCTGGAACAAACCAGTAATGAGCAATATCTTATCTTATTTAAAAAAAAAAACCAGTGTCTCTAGGTATGACATAGTTCCCTCATTAAACCTCAAGGTAACTATCCAGTGAGATCCAAGTTTCAACTGCCAGGCTGGAAGAGTGAGTTCTCCGGGTCAAAATAGGACTTATGAAATTTTTACCCTCTCATACTCAGGCTAGTTTCTGCGCCCGCATACCTAACGACGGAAAATGGATGCCTATCAAACAAACTATGGTGAACCCTGCCGGGACATGGGCTGGAGTTGTAGTTCATCTTCTTCAGATATGAAGCCACAATTATGAATACTTCTGAGTGGAGGTTATTCAGTAATGGACCACTAGACATGGTACGAATTTAAGTATTCTGATTCATGTTCCTTAATTAGAATTTCTTGTAGAACACAATTCTTGTATCGAAAATTACTGGGATGAACTCCTAATTAAGGTATTAACGTTTCTATTTTACATTGTTTGCGGGAACTTTGAATTGCCCGGTCACAAGAAGCGCAATACTCTACAAGAGTCCAATTGCGTACTACAACAGTTACGGCAGGCTTCTCAATCGATCATTGTTCCTTCCCCATCCTTTATCATTCAAAGTGTAAACAATTTGCTATAGCTGAGCCAAAGCGTCACGACTGAGCTTTCCAGATTTTCATACCGCAGAGATTGTAATGGTAAAGTTTAGTATGCGATTTGACTCACGTAGACTATTTTTTCCATGAGCGGAAAGTTTGAATTTACATGTCAAGAAACATTAAATATCTTAGTTAAGAGATCATTTCAGTAATTTTCACTGCGCAAATTGTGTTCTATGTGAAATTTCGGTCAGGAAAAATGTATCAGAATGCTTAACTTTGTACATTGTCTAGTGGTCCATACCGGAAATACTGGGGAAATTATATGGTTTTGCAGAAGCTGTTTTCTTTGTGATGAAAAGGTTAATTTTGGAACAGTCTGCACACCTTGAGCTTGTGTTAAAGTCTATTTGTCCAGAATTTTGAAAAATTCAATTTTTTTTGGCACCTGAGAGGATAACAAAAATGAAAGTTTGAGTACCACGTCCATTTTATTGGAAATATTGTCACTGCTCATCTGGTATTTGATTAAAAAAATTGTAAAGAGGAAAAATTGTGAAACGGAAAAAATACTACAATTACAAATTGAAAAAACTTCTTTTTACCTTCTTTTTTCAACAGCCGTTTCAGCTCGAAGCTCAAAAATTTTGTATCATAAACTTGAGGAAACAACAAACGTATACTGGCTTTGAATTCTTTGTACGTTTCTGAAAACAAGAAAAAATGAATATCAAATGCGGATTATGGAAGAAAAATTGTGTTCATTCTGCCCCACAGAACTACCACACTTAGAAAAAAAATGAAAACGCAAGGTTTTGTAAGAAACCAACAAACCAGGCAGAGACCGACTTAAACTGGTGTAAGGATATTTAAAAACAAACAAACACGCAAGCTACAAAACACCCATCCAGCCGTTTACTTTACTAACAAACCAACACATAATTCGAATTGAAATCAGCCCTTAGGGACGGACTACAAAACAAAATTATTCTCCTTTTCAACATGAGGAAAAGCTGGAGCGTTGTGCACGTTTTTCAAAAATAGGGAAGCTCAAAAAAAGCTTTCAAACTCTTTTAAAAAAGGGGTATGTCCACTTACATTCCCTCTCTAACAAAGAGAGAACATTTACGAGTGAGGCTGTTGGTGTCGTCTGTTGTTAAAGGGGCATGCAGCGTTAGTAGAATTCACCATGCTTCAGTCAATATTCAAGGTAATTGCATGATAAAAGGTAATCTACTGAAATTTGGAGCTAAAGCAGTTCAATTTTGAAGAAGTTTATTCGTAATTAATGATTAGATGTTTTGGAGGAATAAGACTATTTTTTCATGATCTTGAAGTCCAATTCAAAATTTTTAAATGAGTAGTTTCTTCCGCACATGCTTGTAGCAAATTCACTAAATTGACCTTTGAGCCTGCAAAATTTTGTCCACATTCTAAACTAGTTTTCCGCAAAATTCCTGAAAATCTTCTGCAGTTCCTTAGTCAAATCTTTTCAACTTCCTTAGTTTTTCTAATTTTTTTTTTCTTTCTTTGACATCAACCAAAACCAACCTTTGTGTTTGTGAGTCACACGATTTTGAAGCTTTCTATTAATTGAGGCTTTTGATCTATATTGTGCCACAGGTTTGTCACATTATTTTTTTTTTCTTAAATTACGACGGCTGATCAATAGTAAGTATATTCATATGTGTGACGTCAGGAAAAATATTGTCATTACTGCTATGGAACTTGAAGGACGATATTGTAACACAGAGTAAAGTTACTATTATGTTAGTAGATTAATTACTTTATTTAACGCATAAAATGACCAGATGAAACAGATGAGATGAAAAACTGCTATTTGTGTCCAAAGATAAGCTGCTTTTCTCTGACATCTTGAAACTTCTGAGACAGCATTAGGTAACTTTTTTTAAAAGTGCCTACAGAGAAATAGAACATAACTAAGTTTAAGAATGTGGTAACCTTACTTGGTAAAGGTAGGTAAAACTGGTTATGCAGGATTAACAAATCCAAAAGTAAATTGTGACCCACAATGGGCTTTTTAAATTCCATTAGGAGCTTCACAATTTTTGAAAAACCTACGAGTGCATCTATCACAGAATCTTCTAGGTCTTTCGAAACACCTTTCTTGACCAAATCCTTGTGCTGGCTCTCAGTGATTCTAACGACACGGACCTGGAAAGAAAAAAGAAAACAAAATCATTTGACCACTGCTTGATTCACTGTAATGATAGCATGATGTGAGAAGTTTTCTTTGGTTCACTTTTCAGTTGGGTAAAAAAAGTTTACACTTCAAAACCAGTATAAAAAATAAAAACAATGTACATGAGTCATACATCATTCATACACATCAAACTTAAATTGCCCTGAACTTTAAGAACAGACCCTAACGTTTAATACACTTCAGTGTCTCTGGTGCTCTTTGTTGTCGCTAGCCTCTAATAGTTTCTCCAAGCAAAGTTAATGACTGAATACCCCTCCCTCCCCTTTAAATTATTATTCAGGAGTCTTTCAAGAGTAGTGTAAAAAAAGTAAAATTAAATACCTGTTCTTCAGGAGCAGTGTATGTCCATAAGTTATGAAATCTTCTTCGAATTTCCTGATGAAGTATAAAATTCATAAGTTTTGGTTCTTCTCCCAGCCAATAGACTTTAAGGAGTAAATCGTCTCCAACAATAGAGGTGGAGGCCCATTCAGCAACTTTGCTGCATTCATTTTGCAGAATTCTCTCAGTTTCCATTGAAATATTCCTTTCTAGATGACGGAACAACGAACCTTTCTGGATTTCTTCTCGAATTTGAATTTCTTGCTTTACATTCAAATATGGAATACCTTCGTACATCACCTGTAAAATTCAAACACTTCTTTGGTACTGCAGTAAACACATTTTTGAGAGTACAAAGGCATGCAATCCTCTCACCTATATAATTTATTTGTTAAGCCACTCTATAGTTGGCAGTGACCTATTTATCAAGGATTTTTCAAGAAGTATTGAATGGTTTGGGAAGGTTTAAATGGATTTGATGTTTTAATTCCACCAAATACCATTAAATTAAGAATTCTCGAACTATTTCATGAAATCATGAGATTTTCTTGATAATCATCTTTCGAGTAAACTCTAGAAATCTCAGCCAGTTTGAAATCACCATGTTGAGAGGGCTGGTAGAAGCTTAAAATGCATACGGCAAATTCAGTGGAAAAACACTCAGAGAAGACTTTTAAATGAAACTAAAGAACAGGAACATCATTACAGTCAAATTTTAGAGGAAAAGAGAGATTTTCGGACAGAACAAAACGTACTTAAAGGTGGGAAGAGCGAAAGTTTTAAAAAATTCTGAATTTCATCCTCTTCTGGGAAAAGTAGTGAAAATGCTATTTTCAATGAAACTGAGTTATTCACAGTTCTAAATTCTTTGGATACTCTTACATGCAAAGATAATAGGTTTTTTTAAATTATAATCATTACTTAAATCCTTTGAAAAATGTTGCAGTATAAAATATGCTTATTACATGAGCCTCGTATGAAGAAAAGTATCACAAGCGCCAAGTTTTACAACAATGAGAAGAATTATGAAGCCTTCTTCAATTTATTCACTTATGCTCAACTTCCAACTAAGGTTCAAATAGAAAATGCAAGAATTAAAACTGAAGAAAAGAAACACGCATAATACCTATTACATCCGCTACAATAGCTCACAAAATCCTCTCAGAGCACAATATTACATTTGCCAATTTTCTTTGCGGAGATGATTTTCTTCTGGAACTTATTCCATACCCTGGTGCCAAAACTCAAACCAAAATAACTTTTTTAGCCGTTAGAAATAAGTTTTACTTATGTCTCTCCTCTAAAATTGACAATTTGTTGCTTGTGATATTCTCTCAAGAAAGGAGAAATATGCCCTAAAGTTAATGATAATTTATTAGAATCTATCCAAACAAGATCAGCTTTGAAGCAGAAAGGGTGACTTGTTTCAAGTTTAGATACTTCTCATTTAAGAGTTGTGAATTGTTGTTGGAAGTGTTTGATTACTTACCTTATTGAAATCAAATCCGTGTAGACACAAAAACTGCACCGAGGAGGCTTGAAAGAGAAACCGTATATCAATGGATCCGAATGGTTGTGGAAAAACATAGAAATTGTACACCGAAGCTTTGAACGCATGTGTATCTCGATCATACTTGAATATTGAGAGACCAACTTCCATCATGATAACTTGCTGAAGGCATGATTTAAGTTTCAAGTACCTATCATCACCTGAGTCAAATAGACTGAGACAAAAATAAAAACATGAAATTCATTTTGATCAATTCTCACACAGAACTTACGTTGAGCAAGTTTAATGAATGATTTCATATCTACCCCCTTGTCATAACATATATACCTGTGAAGCATCTCCTTCCTTCAAAATTATTTTAATTATTTTTAAGGAAAACACAACGAAAAATCACCTTGAGAATTTCAATGAAAGATGCGAAGCTATTTACTTTGAAAAAATTCATGCGTAGGTAAATAGAACAATTATGATTTTTAAGTGACAGAGTAAAAATTTATCAAGTGAGTACGAAGGAAAAACATGTGAAAATTTAAGAAGGAAAAAATAAAAAAATTTCCTATGAAAGGAGAAAATCACTGAGTTTGAAAAACGCTGTTTGATGATGCAAAATATACCGGCAAATCTTGTAGATTACCGCAGGCTATCCAATTGGGGATATCGGGTTCGACGCACTCGCGTAGCTGAGTTATGTGTAGGCTGCCCCCTTCTGGGGCCGCATAAGATCTGGTGCCTTGAGGACTGAGCGAGACGTAGCTGGTCTGCCCTCCCTGCCCTCCAGTCCTCGGCTCCAGAGCCCTGCCGTGGGGTTGCTGCAAGCTGCGCCTAGGCTCTCCTCCTACGCCCTTGACTCTGGGTAAAATGATGGCTTCGGCAGATCGGGCCCGGGGATGGGGGGGACCCTCCCCCAAGTGGGGGGCCTGAGAGGCCCGGCTTTACCGGGGCTGGGGACTGCCGTTCGAAGAGTGCCATAAGGACATCTGACAGGAGGATAGAGCGTCCAATGGGCCACACTTGCACGGGGTGTGGCCTGGAGGGGTCGTTTAGTGGGCACGGAACATGGCGGCATGCTCCACCCCTACATAACCAAGTTTTGTCCATCTCACAGCGGTCGGGTCGGTTAGGGGTCGCTTCGGCGGCTCTTCACCAGCTGATGGCCGTTGCCGTCCCGGTATTCGGTGTGCCCCTTTCATGCGGAGCTTTGGCGACCTTCATGATGGGGGCACTGTAGCTAATTTTTCCCCTCATCCGAAAAAAAAAAAAAATCTTGTAGATCTTGACGTCATGAAAAAACATTTTCAGTGTGATTAAATGTTCATTGTGCTTCCCTTACTGATGGCAAAAAAATCAGGAAGGAGCGCGGAGATGGAGGGAAGACCTGTTATGCAGATCATTGTGCCACGAGGTGGAGGAGGATCTTATCTGCTAATAAAGGCTTGTGCTGCTTCAGCTTGTAGCGTAGCCTGACGGAAATTCAGATGCCTTCACAAACCAGAAATTTGTAGGATTTTTATTCATTGAGCAGTTCCTAGGTTGAACTGGATCGCAATGATTTTAGCACTGATAGAGATGACTTATGGGAAGTTACCTCTACTGGTCTGATGCCAGCTTCGATGCTTGGTAATGTGATCACAGCTAGACGCTTGTTTCAGTTTGTCAGGAATGGTGTCCCAGCGGAACACCATCCCTGCGCTGAACCAAAACAACAGCGCTATGTTACAATAGAGCTGAGATGCCTTTAATGGGTCACAGCTTAGTTAACACTTACCTACTCTTGAACTTAGCATCTGATAATAACCCACTAAACTCTGAATCAATCGCGACAAAGGTGGCAGCTTTCCCTGACAGAATGAGACAAGCGTCTCGCTGTAATCACTTGCGGTAATGATTTGCATCATTTAAACCATGCCAAGCTTCAATCTCAATATGAATACAGGATTTTTTTATGACTTTGGGTGATGTAAATTATAACAGTGCAGAGTTACAATAGAGCTGAGATGCCTTTAATGGGTCACAGCTTAGTTGACACTTACCTACTCTTGAACTCGGCGTCTGATAATAACCCACTAAACTCTGAATCAATTGCGACAAAGGTGGCAGTTTTCAATTCATCCTTGATGTTCGATAAGCACTCTGTAAAGTTCTTCTTGGTCACATTACACATGTTGCTTCAATTCATGCAGTGGTTGGCCGGGATCGAGCTGGTTGGAGTTATTGAAGATACCCAAGAGTAGTAAGATATTTACTTTTTTAAAGGGAAATTGAAAAAAGTGATAAATCCGGAGCTACGAGAGGTTTCAACCATGTATGTTTCAAATTTTCAAAATTTCAACTTGCAAGGAGGCAAGGACCGCGTGATTCACTTTGAGGTTAAGAACTAATGGTGATTTGTTTACTTTTTAATCACAACAACCTATTTTTCCAATTATTCCTCTATTCGAACAAAAGGAATCTTAACCGCAAATTCTGAACCAGACGCTTTGATTGGTCCAGAGCGGTTCATTCCAATTATTCCGAGTTGAACCAAAACAAGCGGGAATTTCAAATAATTCCGGATATCCTGTCTACAAAATCGTTTCCGTTTCCGGTAAACAGTGTTGTCGCTTTTCCGAGAATTGATAAATAAAACTGACAACACCGCTTTACCGGAAAAGGAAACTAATTGGTAAACAGGATATCCGGAATTATTTGAAATTCCCGCTTATTTTGGTTAAACTCGGAATAAATGGAATGAACCGCTCTTGACCAATCAAAGCGTCTGGTTCAGAATTTGCGGTTAAGATTCCTTCTGTTCGAAAAGAGGAATAATTGGGAAAATGCAGCAATTTGAACGTTGGAACGTTCATTAATTTTTTATACAGGGGTGCTAGGGGTGCTAACCTGCCCTTGAGGGAGGTTTTCAAATTTAACGATAAAGAAAAGAAGGAAAAGAAAAATACGAAGGGAAGAATCTCGTTTAGACTTTTGCATAATTTATGAATTATTTTTTGAATGATTTAGGTATTAACTCCCTCTAGAATACTATTGATTTTATGCGATATTTTTTTCTATTAGCAATGATGCATTGTAAGCGGGAATTTCAAATCTTGACGTGATCTTTTTTCTTGCGAAGGGGGGGAGGTGAGATAGTTAAACTCGTATTTGCGATCTAGGAAGGATACATGGGCAGACTACTTTGAGAGTTAGTTTGGATCCTTGAAAAAAAATCAATCCGTAATATAAAATCAGATTCAGGTCTCATTACTGAAACTTCCTCAATGGATAGAATCCTCCCCACCCATGGTAGGTATGTTATAATATACCTACTTACATCATGGCTTTGAAATCAACAACTTCTGTCGCTAAGGGATCAATGTCAGGGCTATTTCACACTGGTATTTTTTTTCAATTTAAACTGTGCTGGGTGGTATTTGATTCCTCAAAATTGGTGCATCTAACATGAATCAAATATTCTTATTTTTTCTTCTTTAGCCTGTGCTATGAATACAAAGAAGTACAAGTACATACAATTTTTTTATTGACTTGGCATCTGTTGATGCAGGATTTTGAGAGAGATTGATGGCATGCAGTCACTTGATGAAACCAGGCGCGTACAGACCAGTACTACAGCATAAGATGGAAAAGAAAAACTACTTAAAGCTTCCATTGCTGTAATTGGAATTTTCATGTTTTTGTTTTTGTGTGTGTGTGTGTGTGTGTGTGGAAAATATTACTCATAGCCAAGTAGCAATATACAGTAACTATGGGAGATGCTGGAGAGGGGAAGAAGGAGGATGAAAATAAAAAAGTGATCCACACATATCCTTTGGTTGTTGTGAGTATCAATTCCTGTTAGATGAACCGAGTTTTACAGAAAAAAAAAAATGAGTTGGAAGCACCTAGTTCTGAATAAATTAAAGTAAAAATAAATTTTCTCCTAGCAAGAATACTAAGTCGAGAAAAAATATTTCGAACGTAAAAATAGGCGTTAAACTTTGTCTTTCACATTTGAATTGACGAGCTAAAATTAGAGTTTCAATATGTAGGTATGGAAAAGAGTAGGATACGAATACCTGATAGTTCGCCTTCTAAAATCTAATTTCAGGAGGAAAATGTTTAGAAGATTTCGTAGAAGAACCAAGAATGAAAAAAGATGTACAACAAAATTTAATGATTTGTTGTTTTTAATGAGTTGGCCTCGACTCTCGAGACATAAATGTGAGGTTCTACGATTGTTTTCCGATTTTGATCAACCGATTAAATAGATTTATTTTCAAGAGAAAAGGTTCAAATAAAAAAATACTCTCATTGAATTGGCATGACAGAATCGAAAATAATACACTACAAAACTTCATGCTATGAGCTTGGCGATGGATTTTTGGTAGACGTAAAAAGCTTACCTAGATGTGCTATTTTATGTATGAAGTTATCCTGACTATTATTTTGAATTGAATATTCATCTGACATTCTAGAAGTCTGACATGAGTGATGAGATGAAGTCTGAGGCAATAGAAATGTGTGTGACAGCGTGTGAAAAATTCAATGCCAACAATGAGGTGGGTGAATCTTATTTTTGCTAATTCAGGTAACTGATTGAAACTTAACAATGCAACTAGCTAGTGAAGACCAAGTCCCACTTCTTCCCTTGATAAAAAGGCGTATGAGGTTACTCAGCAACATCGCATGCTGCTAAGATTGTACAGGTTTTTATAGCATTTGCAGCAATAATGAAATTCATTCACAGTCGACTTGCTTCCACACTATAGTGAGGAAAAATTCGGAGCAGATTCGGGGAAAATTCATGGCAGAGCTACTGGATGGGCTACTTGTATGGACATATTTCTATCAAACGGAACGACGTGCATTATGACGTGAGCCCTGTTATGCACATATTCTTATGAGCCTCAGGGGTCATGTCTTAAAGCACATAGTTCCGTTTAATAGAAATACGTCCAATTAAATAAATATTTGCACAATTTTAGCAGCATTGGAAGTCTCATGCGCTCTTTTATCAAAGAAGCCCGTAATTATAACTTTGCACAATTTGAACGAATGGATGATTTGACTCTTGGAGTTATTCCTGGATCTTTGAATGTTCTTGAGCCATAGGATACGCCTTGAGGGTGCAGGCTTTTAAGAAGATTTAAAGGTGTTTTCAATGTGGCAAAGCTACTATTTTAGAATGATTTGGCATTTTAAAAAGATTAGGTTTTAGGTAGCTCAGGAAGGGTCTCTAATAATTTTTACTTTATTTTGCGGAATCTTTGGCTGAGAAAGTGATCACGGCAAGTCAAGTTTTCACGATTGAATCTCATAGGTTGATAAACAATATGCCAAAGGTCAAATTTTTATGTCCAGTAATAACTATGAGATATCGCCTTCGGAAAATTATGATGTTCTACTGCTTCTAGTAATATCAAGGTATCACCTACACTTTATCGACCATGAATGGATAAATTCGATTAGCTATTTTTTAAGTGCAGAAAAAAAGGAAATAAACGGTAAGACTTAAAAGAAGCAGAAGCCAAAAATTCATAGAAAAAAGTTCTTGGGAATCTTGATGTGCATGAACACATTTTCACAAGTATTATTACATTTTCCGACATGATTACCAAAGAGCGATATCTCAGTTAAAATTGATCAGACAATGCTGTCTGGCCATACTTCTCGTCTAGAGGCAAAACTAGACTCCACAACAAGCTCAACTGACTCACTCATAGAATCTTATGAGAATAATACATCAGAATTCCTAGATAAGAGTCTTTAGTGTCTTCTTCATAGAAAATTATTTGTTTGTTTTTTAGGCAGCAGCTAAAATGATCAAGGAGATGATGGATAAAAAATGTGGTCCTTCTTGGCAAGTAGTAGTGGGCGAGGGCTACGGTTTTGAAATTACATTTGAATGTAAAACTCTGCTGTACATGTTTTTTGGTGGAAACGTTGCAATTGTAGTCTGGAAATGTTCATAAGATTCCCAGAACTGAACAAGATGAAGAATGAAATACAAAGAAGAAACCAATTCTTAAAAATATAAAATGTGTATATTTACATAAAACAGAATAATGAAAGGAAAAATCTACATCTTTCTGACGGAACAAAAAATTTGAAGGATCTACTAAATTTTCCATGGCTACTTCTAACTTTCCCCGTACGCTATTAAACATGGCAAATGACTGCAGTGGTTAAAGCTAAGGCATGAGATAATTACAGCTTTTAAAAAAAGAAAAAAAAAGTACCTGAACGGAGCAGACTAATTTCGCACCCTCTCATCAAACATTAACCTCTTGAAACAAGCTGTATCAAAATTAAGAGGAAGCTAACCGACATATTAAACTCTAAAGAAACTAGCACTTAATTTGACTCACAGAAGATAGTAGTAGAATGACATGGCTTGACAATGATGGTCTCTAATCGAAAAAAAAGAAGGATGATTATGATTTTAGAAATTTAACAAATCAATTAACTGAACTTCTGTGAAATATAAGAAATTTTGCTGCAAACTGTCTAAATTTTCAGATCTCCTAGTAGTTCCAGTGAGAATTAAGAAAAGAAAAACAATATAAACATGTTAAAATACTCCTCAGAAAATGCAAAATAATTTGTAAATTTTCAAAGTTTATTGGTGATTAAAATCTTGTGTTAATTCTCATCAGCTCCACCTCTCAACGGCTTAGTGAGTAAGTAGCTAATGGCTGAGAAAAGAACCATTTCACGTCAGGAGCTCATGTTTATACTTCAATTTCAGTGATGTAACAATGGATCAGATTAGCCCTTGAGGCTGTGAAATAAGTCTAGACATAATTTTTTTGGAACATAAGATAAGCTTCTGCATATTTTGTTTGGTTCCTTGGATAAACCTACGGTGATCTAGAATAAACATAGTAGGTGCTGGCATGGCTGAAAATGAGCAGTCGACTGTTCAAATTTCTGTATGCTCAAAGAAGAATATTTATTAAGAGAAGGGGTCAGACTATCAAAAACCCTATACACCTATATTATAAATCTATTCCGAGCCACTTTCAGAGGTTTCCTTTTTCTCCGCTTCCTAAGACCAAAAATGGAAGTAAAAGGCCTAAGAGATTCTAAATTATGAGTGAACTAGGATAATCTGATCCTGCTTGACAGTGAAACTGTAAAAACGTGTATCTCGATTTTCAGGGTTGCAGATGTTCTGTCATACTTCGCTATTTCAAAAGGTAACCGAGCATCACTTACGGAAAGATTTTGTGTGATTTTCTTAGCCCGCCAAAGAACCTTTTTTGAAAAGTGTGTACTAAAATTCATAGTAATATTTCCTTACAATAATAAAGTAAAATCAGCAATTCTGAAAAACCGTTTTCAAAGACGTGTTCTTGTAGATAATTGCATCTTCATTGTACTATTATTGCTTGTTGTCTATAAAATAATCATAAGAAGGTTATGAAAGTAAAACGTTTTGTTGAGTAAAACCTGTCTTTCTTTCAGTACGAATTCGGTGGTATATTAAGTTATTTAAAGTCCAGAAGCATGTCATATTCTTAAACTTTAATGTGACCAAGTTTTATCGAAATGTGTAGGACAATTTTCAAGAGACTTGGAAAATTCCTCTTCATAATTTCTCACGGCCATATTTTGAACACTTCACAGATGTAATATGTACAGCTTTTAAACACCATCTCATTGCATCTGTATTATACAGGCATGCAAGCACCCTCCTTTGTTCTAAAATATTTTATTCAAGTTAAATCAACTTTGAATCAGTAAAATAAGTGGGGGTTTTTCCCAGCGAATGCCTGCATTATGGACAAGATTCTGATGCAAGAATGAAACCTAAGTGTTCTGCTCTATGACAAGAATTGAACTTCATGTTGTGCTAAGGAATTACTATTTCTGGCTCATAAATGAGTGCAACTATATGCATTGGGAAATACACATACAATGTTTCTGAAAAAAGCCGAAAATGGAAGTTCCTTGACGAAAAACTTAACCTCATTGGAGTAACAATAAATTATTGCACCAATCTTGTTGATGCAAAGAATTATTTCTTCTACTAAAAATTGAATAAGTTAACAAAATGAGGCTAAGAAACCCTGTCTGAGAAAAAACCAGTGGTTTAGATGGCTAAAAATACTAGTAGAATTTGTTTTAAAACATGGTTCTACACCAAAACTATTGATGGTTCAAGAGTTCTGGAAAATGCTTTTTACAAGGGTTTTGGTTCAGAATTTGAGAAATATCATAAAATAAACAAACTTCATGGTAATTAATTACAATTACAAGTTCACACCGAACTATCTTTAAGATAATAATGCCTAATGCAATACATGAAATATTTATGCACCTTGAGTAGAGAATAGGTATTCATAAAATAAATCTTAAAGGACAGAAACATAAGAGAACGACAAATACAAATTTCTTGAGAGCCAAGGGAGGTACTAACAATGGTTCTTAACAACAGGAAGTTGCCTGAAATTTCATGGACAAAGTATGAGAGAAAAAAAAGAAGAAAAAACCCTTAGCATCAGAGACAAGATGCTTTGATTATTTTTCTAGGCGCATATTAGATCTAGTAACATTTGTTCCTTTAATTTAACTAAACTAATGAGTTTGACTAACAACAACATTTGGAAAAATTGTAATTCACTATGACTACACTTGGCTTTTCACGATTCTTTAAATGCCAAGTGCTGGAGAAAATTTATGATACCAATTCTGAACTAAAAATATATTATAAGAAAATTGATTGAAACAGAGGAAGATGAAAGCATTCAATAGCCTCATTTTTCAGCCGAGAGTAATAGGTACAATGGAATATGCAACATAAATGACGGAGCATGTATTAACCACTCTTAAATGGTACACATTTTTCCTTGACTGGCTTACTGGGATTGCCAAATTCCTTTCTTTCTACTGTATGGGTTGGAAGTGCAAACTCTGGCAAAAAAGTGAAGCTACCTCAGAAAAGCTAAGGAAAGCAGTATCTAGACACACCACATCAGTTAAGACTGAAATGTAGGTATGATTATGATTGAGCATTTCAGGAATTTTGAAGGAATTGTTGTACTTGTGGTGCAAAAACATACAGACGTGGCTGACCTAAAGATGGAGAAATTTAAAAAAGGCTGCATTCTCTTGAACATTTTCAGAAGGAGAAATAATAATATGGATTAGGTAGATGGATTAGAAGAAGTTTGTGTCATAGAATTACGACAATGTGAGTGTAAAATAATGCATACGAGAAAATCTTGAAAAGATATTTCAATTTACAATCCAAGATTATTGCAACCCTTCATTGATGAAGTTAGTGGAAATTTAAAAAAAAAAACAGAATTTGACCAATTCAGTCAGAGGTAGAAGAAAGAAAGGAAAAAAAAAACAAACCAAAATTTGACTAGCTCTTAAAGTTGTTTCTGAATGTATTGTCCATACGCTGGGATGAAATTTGTTTTTGGCATACCCCTGACCACTATCTACCCACACTTTACTGGATATTATTTAGGTTCAAAACCACTACGTGAAAAGCAGCTAATGGTTTGATCTATAATGATATTACTAAGTGGCATTATTAAATTAAAATTTACACTCAATCACAGTGATACTACAGGTATCTAATTAATTAAAATGGTTAGTCGACACACACAAAAAAAACAAAAAACAAAAGGAGAAAACTTTCTTAGCAACTATCAAGCTGCAAAAATCTGCATGGCATACAATTTATTGACTAAAATAAGGTAATTTTTCTTAAGGTTGTCAAAAATCGATGCAATGGTTTTATCATCTTTTCTTCATTAATTTTACAAAATTAAAATCTGCAAAATTATGTTGATGATAGAAAGTTTAGTCCTTGGAACAAAAAACTTTTTAAAAAAAGGCACGTCTGAGTAAAATTCAATTATTGTTTTTTCCAACCAAACAGAATCACAAAATGAAATATTTTTTCAAATAGAATTGAAAAAGATGAACAAATTTAGAAGAATTGAGGGGATTTCTCTCTGACTAAAACAATAACTATTTGAAGTTGAAAAAAATTCAAGAGTAAAGCTATCATTTTTTAGACATGGGGAAATAAATCCTGACTGAACACTTCATGGCCATTAGATTTTTTTAATCACCAATTAGATAGCGATCAGCTCTATACTTTGAGTCCTTGCATGGCACAATACTAGAGTAGATAGAGTGAACAATGTCTTCAATACCCAAAAAAATGATAGATCTAGCCAAATTTTCGATTCTTAAGTAACATTTTGTTCTTGAGATAGCAGGAATATTAAATTCATGGCTTCTCTGAGGACCAATTTAAAAAAAAAAAAAATGAGCACATAGTACACATTTCATGAGGATTTATACAAGAATTCACTGCCAATTAGAGAGAAAAAACTGGAGAAAAACAGTTTCAGGAATTTACAACTTGAACGTTTAGCCAATTAAACTGAAACATGCGTGGATACAAATATTGTTTCTTCCTTTTGTAGGAAAAAAAAAATAAAAAAAAATAAATATGGGACTAACAAAGAGTTAACAGGTATTCTAAGAGAAGCAAAAGATAAAAACTAACATTTACACTGAGAATGTTTTCAAAAATCCTGCTGCTAGATTGTTCATCTGACGTAAATTTGCGACTAGAGAGACAAGTGGTTCAAAATATGAGCTTTGTAATCATTTGGACACTTAAGTATTGGATGTTACCATATTTTACACTAATTGAGAGTAAAATTGCAAGGTGTTTGAGATAGAGCAAGATCTTGACAAGAAAACCGCACTTAACGAATATCCACTACTATCTGTGGCAACATAAGAAGAGAATTAAAAAACTGTAAAACTTAGTTGTTAATATAAAGAAAATTTTGATTGTTTTGTTTGTACCGCGCAAATTTGCTCGGTGAAAATTACCAATAGCCGGGAATAGAGCCCAAGAACAAAATTCACGATTTTCTTTTGACAAAAATAAACTTAACAAGAAATACAAGTAGAGTCACCAAAACAAGGACAAGCTGAAGACTCTCCACTGACTACAAAATAAAACTGACAACCGTCTTAAGAGTACAGGGGCCGAATATTGTTGGCAGGTTTGCGGTTGGTTGCAAGTTGAGGCAAGGAAGTTGAATTTGTAATTTGATTGTTGAGTAATGGTTTTCACTGTTGGGGAATTAGTGGTACCTCTAGCTGCTGTGAAAAAAAAAAAAAACTCATTTTGCATATAGCATAAGTTTAGAGTATAATTTGCTTACCTATAATTCACATTTTGAAGTTAGATTCCCAAACTTACAGCCAACCATAGCCAACAAAATCCTAGCCCGGAGCTATTTGCACCAAAATATTTATATTTGATCAATTCAATTGCTGCACCAACCATTGTTCTTTTAGAGGAGAACGGCTTTGACTCCTCTTGATCAGAACATCTTTTAATACCCTTAAAGCAAAAAATTAAGAAGGTTCTTTCAGTACTCAATTGAGGGGAATTAAGTTCAAACATAGTAATTACATGCTGAAACTTGAAGAAAGAAGGAAAAAATTGACAGTGTGAAAAACACAAAACAAAACTATGTTTCAGTGAACGGCAAACCTTTATACTTAAGCGGTTTAAAAATAAATTTAAATGGTGGTACAGAAACTGTGCTGATACCTTGGATAAAAAATAAAATAAAAAAAGGTCAAGGTTTAGCTCAGTCATACTTTTGATATGCTATTCAAAGATGATTTCTTAATATTACTAGTCTCAGAGCACCTGACTTGATGTTTATTACTATATAGTGTTAATAAGATACTTTCTGTACCTGCTATCTCTAATATGATGCTGATTTCAAATTAGGTAAATCTCTTCTCGAGTAAATATTTTCGAGTCGTAAAATTATCAGTACAAAAAGTGTACTTACATTATTAAGTGTACACTTATATCATTAGAGCCAGCTAAAATCGGACCAACAATGGGACTTGAGAATACTTACTTTTTAAGAGAGGTGTGAATTAAAATAACAAAATGATGTTAACAATACAGTCATATAACAAGTAAAGCTCATAACAACAGCAAGATACAGGAAGTTAAACTAATAGTAAAATATAAGGAAACATACTTTTGACTTCTTCATTTCGCCACAAGAAAATCAAACCAAAAAAACTGAAAAAAAATTAAGAAACTCAAAGATCCAGTCTTTCACCTCTTTTTCTTCAATTCTCAAATCAACACACAAGCACACTGAAGGTGTTCTTGACCTCAATTAAAAAAAAGAAAATATTTTTGGTGAGTATATCCTGCATAATTCCTAGGAGGTTGTGTCTCAATGCTGGGGAAATCGGCAGGAAAAAAAATGGGGAATTCTCATATTGTTTTCAATTTTATGATAAAAATATGGCTGAAAAAACTGAGACAGACAATAGTAACTTGAAACTCTACTTCCAACAATTACTCTGATGGTCTCCTTGAATAAGTTGAGCAACTTTGCCTTCTTTAAAACACTGATTGCCTTTCCTGAGATCGAACTGGTATACATGATAGAGGAAAACAGTGAGGTATCTGATGTACCAGCTGGATGAACCAATCAGAGGAAAGTCAGTCCTCTGTCATTAGCTGTTTTCCTTCTATCATGGGATACAATCTTTTGCAGAGAAACTCGCGGCAAGCAGTTTCGTTTGCTAAGGTGAACACAATTTACAGCGAAACATACTTCATACTTTTTAGAGCTCTTTGTTTTTTATGCTGGAATCAATTAGTCTTAAAATGATACTTATCATTTTGGGGCAAAATTTCAGAGACGAAAGTCTTTGCCAAATAACGAAAATAATTTTCCACAGCTAGAGCTAAAAAGAGCAAGGGCTGTTGCAAAGACAATTAGATTTGAATGAAAAATGAAAAAAAGAGGGAGGAGGAGAGAAGGAAACTGGACTTAATTGAATGATGAATGATCAACAAACTAATATTTTAGACACAAGGACCACTGTTTTCAGATTACTTGGACTACTTGATGATATTTACATTTAATTATTCTGTCCTATTCACCATTAAGTATAAAGGCTTAGGAGGTATCAAAAAAGTTTCAATTTCAGAGGAGAAACATAGGATGGCAAGGGATATTATGAACCATTTCATATGCAATAAAATTTACAGTAATAAACTTGCAAAAAATTGCAAAACTTCCTTCTGTTCCAGGAGAGTTTACAAAATGAGCAGAACCAGGCATCCAGAATTAAGTTCACAGCAAATACATTTATCTATTATCGGAGTGAGATCCATCAGTCACATCACAAAATGAATAATCTCACTTGGCATGGACTTCACTTGAAATGGCCAAAACTTGCCATTAGACCGGTCAAAAGCAATGGCAAATAATTGAACCTTTTAGTTTCCCCCAGTTAGCCCTGCCAAATGAGACGAATGACTCTGGAAGAATGGAAGGTCATTTTTCTTGATATTCCAGACAAAAGCAAACTATTCGAAATTCATGGATACTATTTTAAACTTTTCGCAAGAGAATAAAGGAAAATTAGATGGCTCCATGCTAACAAATGACTTCTGATTTTGACTGAAAAGTAAATAACCGTTAGTCAGTGCCAAGGGTGAATTCAGGAATGTCTCATTCAGTCCAATGCTTTAGTTCCATGTCCAAAATAGTGAATTACAGAACACTCCTTGAGAATTGAGTGACACCAGGCAGACAATTGGCTACTTTTTGGCTGTTCTGAATGAGATGAGTCCCACTACAAAGTTCTGGCTTCTGATAGGTCTAGAAGCATAGTGCTTCTTGGCAACTTAGAGACCTACTAAATTGCATGACAGAAATACAAAGAGATAAGACATAGTTTCTACATGGAAAAAAAAAAGAGAAAAAAATTGATGAAGTAGACAAGAGAATTGATCTTTCAAACTTGATCGGTTAATTGTCAATAATTTTCAACTAATTTTTTTAATAACCACTTGAATCTCTTTTAACTCTAGAATTATAGACTATATGATCCTACGCATAACTGTTCAACTTACCCAAAGAAGCAGATTAAAGATTACAATCCAAAATTCATCTTATATTTTGCTTGAAAGAAGAATAGTACTGAGCTAACAACAAATAGTGCAAAATATATTTAAATGAGAAATTAAAGTACAGACCATGTCTAGAGTCTGGACGCCTGTCAGAGAAAAAATAATTGATTTAACAATTCAAACAATTAACAAAAGTTAACAAGATTTACAAAAAGCTTTGACTAATAGTGAAACAAAAAAGAAACAGTTGGTTTCATTAACTAAAACCTTAAAACTAAACTAGATAGTACTCAGTCGCTTACAATTTAAATCCACCTCTATTTGAACCATGAAAATTGGGGAGGGGAAAGCACTACATATAAAATAACTTTGGATTGAAGATGGTATCAACCAAAAAAACAGTTAACATTGTATGATAACGATGATTGAACAAAAAGAAAGAAGTCTGAGATACAGCATTTCTGTCACGATTTTGAATGGCAATATAGTGGTTAAGGAAGAACGTTATGCAAAGATCAGCAACAAAATTTGTTTAGAACAACGATACTAAGTTTTGAATTCACACGATGCCTACATGGTGATTCTGGCAATGAGATAAAGATGGACAAACCTCTTGCTTGCTGAGTCATTTCTAAAGAATAGTGTTCATACTTTTCCCTGGTAACCCTTAACACTCAGTGCAACATTATTTAAATTTAAACTTCAGAGCTGAAGGATCAATAGTAGGAGAGGCTGGGGGTATTTGATTTATTTCTGTAGTATGAGAGTTGCTCAGATTAAATCACATTAAAATGTTTGAAATTTTCCTTTCGTGTCTATAACGACACACTGAAATTGTTCAAACTTGAGCAACTTGATCTACTGGTTTTGTTTCACGGTTGGTTCTTCTGATGGGCTGCATTCTGATACAATTGACCGATCTATCCCACATTATTTTTGACAGAAATTGCATGGCTCCTTTTAATTTTAAAGAAGAAAAGTTACATTCATTAGCTCATGCTACATAATTTCTGGTTTTTCTGATACTGTAATACTCGGGCAAGCATATTGCATCTGCGGAGTATGTAGCTGAGAGAAAAAACTTAGAACAAAAAAAATCTTAAAATCGTGTGTAAAAATTCTGAGCCAATGAGTTCAAAAAAAGAAGAAATAAAACCGGTGTCATTTAAAAAACAGTGCAATTCTGGTGCACATCTACAGTTTGAGAGGGATCGCCAAAAACGAGGGGAAAGTTGATCATGTCGAACAACCAATTGATAGAAAACAAAAGAATCAATTGAGCTGGGGAATGCAATGTTGGCAAATGTTTTTGAGAGAGTGATTTGGAAAATATTCCTTGAATAAAGAAACAAGAATAAGACATTACTTTTTAAAAAAAGGGGGGGGGGGGGTGATGAGGGTAAATTTTAAGTCATAGGACTTTAATGCAGTTTTTTGCCTTTAACATATTTATGCCTTTTTTTATGGCCACCTGCTTTTTTAAAATCCTAAAACTCTATTTTCTAAGGATGAAAACTAGATGCTTGAAAGAAGGACGATCTTGAAAGCTGATATCCTTCAAAAAATATAAGGCAACTTGAAATGAAAAGGAAAAAAAAGGTTTTCACACTGAAATAACTTGAACTAAGAAAAAAAAAGTAAAAAATACAAAAAACACTACAAAGTTATTGACATTAACTTTCACTACGACAATGGAACTGATTTGTGAAGATGAAGTAATAGTTTTATACTTAACCACCCTCTTTCACAGCTTGATTCACAACGCTTTTTCTTGATTTTGCTTCAAGGTCTCCTTCTGGTTCATCATGCTTATCCTTTGCAACCGTTTTCTCATCTGTTATTTCTGAGACTGCAGCAGCACGCTTCTCCATTTCTGCTTTGAAATTCTCAATATCTTGCTGGCTAAAAGATAAAAGGAAAAACAATCAATAATTGCCGATTCACAAACATTGCATAAATGCTGGCAAGATGGATAGTAAATTCATATCCAAGTAAGACTTCGAAAATAAAATTGAGAGGTACCTCAGGTCGTTTCCCCAAATGAAGCCTTAAGGGCTAGGAAAAAATTATTTTTTATCACTTGCAATGAAACTTGTTACCATAAACACACATCAATGTCTTAGATGATCAATAATTTTTTAACAAGAGAATATCCATCTGTGTTTGCAATTTTTCTATCTTACCAAAATTTGCCTTGGAAAATTGCATTTGAAATATTTAAGGAGTTGCTTGGCAAGAAATTTTTTATAAGACCTTTGTAATTTTTTCAGAATTTCATTATCATCCAACCTCTTCTGTCTACACGGTGAAATTTATTTTTAGTAGGATTTCAGAATCAAATTCTCTGAAAGATATTGAAACAGAAAAAAATGCTTAACAACTAACGTTATTAACTAAATCGTAAACATACTAAAAATCAAAGTCTTCTCAAAAATATTCTAGAAACCTAAAGTACTGCATTCTAAGTCTACAGTAAATTGTGAATATAACAGGGTTGCCACACAATTTAGAAAATGAAATTCCCTGACACATTTTGGTGAAATTCCCTGACAACTGAAAATGTGACGGATGGTTAAAAGGGCATAATTGAAAATAGTTTCCAGTCAAAATTTCTTGTTCAAAATCTCAAACCCATTCTAGAAAGCAAATGAAGGTGATTTAACAAATTTTCCCTGACATTTTCGTCATTTTTCCTGACATTTCCTGGTTTTCCCTGACTGTGGCCCTGATACAAGTGCTTTGAAACTTACTATTCATTTTTAAAATTCAAATTTTTCGTACAGGGTAAAAGAACTGGCAACTTGGTCACGTTACCACGCTCGCTGACTTGCAACTTTGCATACTTTTTAAAGATGAAAAGCTTGACTTACCTAATTTGAACAAAAAGAATTCCATTGATCACATTCAGCATGTCTAGGACAGACCCCATTGAAGGAGGTTGAATTTGGATGGGCGGGAAATAGGCACTCATTTTGCCATTATAGATCTCATTCATCTTCTTTTGCAGGATGACCGCTTGATGTGTTAGGTGCCGCAAGCAATCGGATGACTCTCGCGTCTTTTCATGATCCTCTCCAAATTGTTGCTTGTAAATCGTGTAAGTTTCTTTCTCATTATTTAACGCGGATCGGAAATCACCCATACAACTTTCTGTTCGTGCAATGAGATGATAGCTGACAGCAACTTTTAAGGACTTTGGACCATAGAATTGAATGTTCAATGCCAATGCCTTCTTTAAGAACTTAAGTGACAAATCATATTCCCCTAAAGCATGTAAGATCAAACTAATATTACTATCCAGTAGTGCTATTTCTGGGTGGTTTTCTCCACATACTATCAATGCTAAGTATCTCGCTCGATAAAGTAGTTTCAAAGCTGCGCTAACTTGATTGTTTGCGAAACAATAGAGTGCTAGATGAGTATATTCTGTGATAGTGTAGGGATGATCAATGCCATTGACTCGTTCTGACATAAGCACAGCTTTCTGTTGATACGCCATAGCCTCTGCATGGTCGCCCATGATGTAATTGAGTCGTGCCAGCATGCGCAAACACTGGGCAATTTCGGGATGCATTGCTCCATAAACATTGTTGAGCAGATTCAATGCCTCACTGATGAGTTCGTAGCCTTCTTTCAAGTAGCCCTGCTGAATCTTGGACTGTCCTGTTGTGTAAAAGTTATATGCATCGCTTGCACGGGGGTTGATATGTTTCACCACAGGGAATATATTTACAATATCATCTTCTACAAAAGTGAACTTATTCTTATTGTCAAAGTTGTACTCACGGAGTAATATCTGTACACCAGTCTTGATGCAAAATGACCGCAACAGCGATATGCGCTGCAACGTGAATGTTTCACAAACACTTTCAATCGAGTTAGGAACTAGTTCCCAAGCATAGTAGGACTTAAGTTCTGTTTCAATTTGAGACCAAAGATACTTAGGAGTCAGAGTGATCCACTCATTGCTGTCTGTATTTACCAGTCGGTTGATGCGGCTCTTGCGTTTGGTGCGTTGGGTAGTCCGTTTTTTAAAGACTTTGTTGTTCAACTCGTCTGTGGTGAATTGAGTATTGTTGAATTGGCAAGAGGACAGGAAACAATTTAGGAAATGGGCAACAGCTGCAGATAAGGACATCATCTCTGTGTTCTGGAGGTAACTTGTGAATAAGTGTTTTGCTGCCCTTGTTATCAGCTCAGAGACAGCTATGCTCAACAGGTACTCTAGCTGTTTAATTTTTGATAGCATTGTTGTGATCATTCCAAGGTAACGAATATTTATTCCACGTGAGTGCATAGCTTCGGACAATGCAAATCCATCCATCGGAGCTCCTGAGTGATCCATGCAGTCTCGAATCTGAAAATTAGACAAAAAATTGGTTTTTCTCACGTTAAGATACACATGCACTTATTGTAGTGAATTAAAATCGTAGGGGCAGTATGAAAAAGTATTCAAGAAGCCATCTTGTTGTATGGAATAGAGGAAGTAACATTTGCAACTTCATAGCCATGTTCTTTGTCACAGATTGCAAAACATTTTCCTTAAAGCAATAGTGTTACTTCAATGAACCTTTGGAAAAGATGCTATGTGCATGAGGGTGAAAAGTAGATACCCTCTTCCCCTTCCCTCTTAGTTCTATTTATATCATCTATCACACTCGACCAGCCAAATTTTCAATTTGCCCGCTGTTTTTGTCGCTGGAGTATGCGCATGAGCAGGCGGCTTTCTGCCCACGTATCTTTTTCAAGTTGCCTGTAGGCTCATGGGAATTTTCCGAGTTTGTCATTATATGAGTATCCTTTGCAAGGCTGGTACCTTTTTAAAGGGCCAACTATTTTTTGACTTTAAAGTTATTGCATCGGTCGAAAGTGTGGGGGTATCTAGTGTTTGTATTTTGTTGTTTCTGTTTCTTCTGTTCACTCTGGGCATGGCCTTAACACGCTGATCCTTAGTGTTCTAATTTCCTGCTATCCCTCCCTTTTCCCTTTTTCTCTTACGTCTAAATACAGTGTTAGGGACAAGATACTGTGCAAGAGATGTGACATTTTATTGGTCAGTGAAAAGAATGAAGACAAGACTTTGGAGATGATTAATCTGGGAGAATTTGAACTCATGTAAAACTTCTGTGAGTTTCTGAGGGGTATTAAAATACAACAAATTTAGTCAGCATTCTGATGGTTCAAACAAACCATGGAATCAGTTTGTTGTAGCTTAGTAAAACACTTACAAAGGCTGGTATTTGTTGCATGACAAGAAACTCAGCCGCATCTTTCACTAGCTTCTTTTCTTTCTTCAGTTGATCTTCAGAATCCGCATGTCGCACTCCCGGGGAGAAAACATCTGGGTTGAATCGAACGTCAAATTCTGTGTCTTTCAAAGAACCTATTGCTTGGGCAGCCTTTTTAACAATTTGTTTTGTACTTTCTTCCACTGCAAACAAGAAGAAAAGAAAAGATTCAAATAAATGCTAAAATCCATGGCAGCAGATGTGATAAGTATTTTACAGAATGTGTGAGATATGCAATTGAAAATAAAGTAAAAAAACACTTTTTCCTCAGATACTACACTATTCTGTTTTGTTTCCTTCATCTGATCGTTATCATCCTTTTATCACCATGGTAAAGTGTAATAAAGTGGAAGTTTGTTGTTGGGTATCAGGGTCAAGAATTTTGATTCATCGATGTGGAAATTCGGCCGAGGCAAACTTTTTTTTTTAACATTGCTTACACAGTAAAGGGATGAGTACCGGCAAAAAAAAAAAAAACACTGGCAAATTGATGTGTTAACTAATTAATCTCTGCTATTCCTGAGCTTATTGTTGAGGTTCACCCCACAATACACTTTGACTATTCGAATAAAAAAAAAAAAAAAAAAAACATATAGAGAATTGGACTTCAAATTTTGCACTATTGCCCCAAAAACTGACTTCTCAATTTCACAGAATTGCCGGCTTTTTCAGTTGTTCCGGATTTATCCAATAAATCGAGCTGGAACTGTATTATGATATTTTTGGTAGGTATCCTCACCAGTCATACCAAATGCTTCTAATATATACATATAATCATTAGTGGCACAGAGTTTTAACTGTCTAGATTTTTGTTCCAAAAAAAAAATCAGAGTATGCGAAATTTTACTTTTGAACGTACTGAGCTCATTAACCGGATTTATCCGAATTTGAAGAACGATTAATTAAACTGCTATCCAATGAAATGATAGAGAAAAAAATCGCTAAAATCCCTCTACCAATAGGGTAATTAATCAACAAATTAAATTCCAAATATTATTACCATTAGTCATTGAATCAGTCATACTTTCAACAATCTTTTTTGCTTCATCCGTTTCCAAGGAATTCTCTCCTGTTACTTTCTCAATTTCAGTACAAGTCGTGGAATTGTCAGTCTTTTTTACCTCCTGTAAGAGAAAAACAATCATTTTGAAAAAAAAAAGAATATTTAGGCTGAGCTTGAGGTAGATGATTAATGTATATTTCTGCTGAACTTCAAATGTAAATGTTAGCATAATCTAAACATCTCATAGGGCATGATATTTTTTCAATTGTAACAAAATGATTAAAGTTACTGTCTAGCTAATGTATACCAATACGCACTTTCAGTTTGAAAATTCAGTTGATTTTTAAGCAACAGCTGTCACTTACAGCTCTCATCTTCTCTCTGGGTACTCTAACAACTTGACACTTTTCTCTCCCTGTTTGCAGGGAGCTCTTTACTTTACACAAGTCTAACAAAAGTCTATTAATTAAACTTTACTTGAGCTTGAATGAAACCTATTACTGACAGACATCATCACCATGCAAGAAGAACACATCTCTGTAAAAATTTTGCTGATTAATAGAGGATAGGGCTAATACTTGAAGGGAGGAAACTTGTGTAAATACTGAAAACTTCACAAACTTACAATCAAATCAAAACTAAAAATAAGCTTTGACTTTCTCCTGAAAATGAGACTGGAAACATTACAGAGTGAAAATAAGAGGTTAATAAAGAAATTGAAGATATATAATACCTTTTCTGTAATGGCAGGCACATTTTTATCTTGAGAAGGAGGGTTCACTTCTCTATCTCTCTGTTCCTTCAAACCGAGTTGCTGAAGATGAAAGGCGGCATACTTAATGAACAGCATATACCTTGATCTGTGGTTAAAAAAAAAGAAAAAAACTTATTAAACGTTTACGATAATTGTTGCTATGCAAGTTGACTTGACAAGCTCTGACAGTGTCCCAAGTACCAAATGACTGCTAAAAATGTCTAGCGTTTGCCAGCTTGATTTTCTAATGACAGTAGAAAAGCTGTAAAACAAGCTGCCAAGCTGCTCATAATGAAGATAAAATCGTGTTGATGTTCACATATTTTTGTGATGACATTCACAAAATCGTGGCTATTTGTGAATGAAGGATATAAGAACGGTCCATAGCTTTGAAAATTTTGGGGGAAAGGAGGATTCAAGAATGGAAACGGCTGGTTAAAAATGAGGAAATTAGCTGGAAAAATGGGAGGGCTGCATGAGAGCTCTCTGAACACATGTCAAAAGTATTGACTCGTTTCTTGAGCTTGGATATTTGAATTACATAAAGATTGAACTAGATACAATTACTCCAGACCATAGGTTCATATGAAATTCTCTAATCACATCAACCGAGTCAAATTCTAACTCCACTTATTTTAGGAAAACCCCTTCCTCATTGCTTTGGCTCTCAATAATTTTTTAGCAAGAGATAAGAGTAACTACTGATTTTTTACTTACTCAACGAAGGCATCTATTAGTTCCTGACGTAAGCAACTAAGTTTATGTTTGTGTTCGATAGGAAAACCTTGTCCCTGAACCTCATCACTCAACGTTTCATCCTCCACTAGAAAAACCGAAAGAAAAATAAATGAGCTGATAAAATTTGGTGTTTTGATCAAAAACAAGAAATTCAGTCTTCGATGCCCTTTGACTGAACGAACAAAGTGGATAGAACACTCAAAGCAATGAAGCTTCCAAAAAATAAAAAAAAAACATTATTGTAATTCATATTCTTGCCAACAGTATGCATACTCTACATGCTTAATTTTATGTAGGCATGTGGAGGCTACAGCAGGAGATGCAAAGGTGTGGGGCAAAATTATAATTGTCAGGCATTATTTACAACACTTGCTTTGAGCAAAATGAAAATTCTCAAGTGCGGTGATGAAAGGGATACTGCATATTACAGCATGGCATTTGATCCCCAGCATACTGCAGCAAGATAAGATTTGGAATGTTTTTGAAGTTGTCTGCAAAAATTAGCCATTTTTTCTTTCACCAGTTGAAGATAACTTATTATTTTCCGTCAACACTGGTTTCAAAAATGTTATTTTGAAGAGAAAGTGCATTTTCAACACAAAGCCCAATCATTGTTAGATCTAAGAAAGACATTATTGATCATAGGATAGAGGGTCAGTAGGTCAAAGTTTAATTGTGCTTGGATATTGAATGATTTAAGAATGGTTTTGATTGAGGTTCCTCTTGGGAAAAAGTAACTGAGAAAAGGTAAAACAAAATTCTTCAGGCGGTATTTTAAAAGTCAGAGTTATTTGCTTACATTTCAAGAAGTTGACATCCGGAGGGAACGTCCTCAATAGATCCAAAATGTAATGCCGACCATCATTACCGATTATGCCTTTACACTCGACAGAGGAGCATAATTCTACCTCCTCATTTTTATCATTTAGAACTTTGTGAGGTAATATTTTCAACTGCTGAGCAGCTTTACTGAGCTGAAAGAAAAAACCAAAACACAAGATGAATATAATTTTAAAATTTGATGATTCATTGGTTAAAATTAAATTACATACTAGGACCTGCTGGAAAATTTCCTTAATGAATTCACCTAGGATCTCAAAATTAGTTTCCCAAACAAGCTCTAGTTTTTTGAGGCTATGAAAAAGATGAAAAATGGTGTGGATCAAAAATCGAAAAGTACTACAGCGGACTGAAAATCAAATAGTGCTTTAACGCACTTCAATTCTGCAAAAAAGTAAGAATTATAGGCTGACTGACAATTATTCTCAAGAGGGATGAAGAGAAAATGCAGGTTGAAGTAGCGGAAAATTCTTGGTGAATTTACTCAGATCCAGTTGTCTCAAAATAAAGTATCAGGTTGATAATTAGAATTTGATTGAAAAAAAAATCTTCTAATGATCAAAAACGTGAGTTACAGGTTAAAAGATGTTTGTTTAGGCATTCTTTCATAAATTAACCAGAAAAGCTTGGAATATGCTAGAAAATATCACTAATCTTACCAAATCCATGTATTTTGTGTGGGTGATAACAGTTTTCCCGAAATCAATGGATCCATATACGACAGACTGTTCTTGTTCTCTCTCCAAGATACCAGGTATAATTGACTGAGCAGTGACACGGTAACCTCGATAATCAATCACAACAGTTCCTAGCGTGTACAGACCGGGCTGATCAACCACATTGTAGACTCGTACACCTTGCAGATCATTTCTCTGTAAAATAATTGTTTCCAAAATCTCATTTATGAATTTATCATGAACACATACAAGTTATTAAAATGAAAGAGATTTGAAATGAGGATTTTAATTCTTTTTCTAGGCGATAAACAGGAGAGAGTTGGCTATAGAAGGGAAGTGCATCTAATTTATATGAACTATGCGAACGCTTCCGCAGACCATGGAACATGAATGTGAAACAACCATGGAATATGATTGGCCATTGCTACTAAAGCAACAGGAGTGCCTCCAGATGAATTTGCGGAGATGCCTGGATTTGGATGGCATCCTCTTTCAGGTTCAAGAAAAAGAAGAACGGAAGGAAAATGGAGGCTACAGATTCATCTTTTCCGAAGGGCAGTTAGCTGAGCTAATGATACATGGTGGTCGTGCCTGTGACCGTACGTGGGCAGAGAATGAAATAGAATGCATCTGACAATTCTGTGCTGATACAATAAACAATAACGAAAATAAAAGGGATTGATATTCCTCACCGGAGCAACAAAAGCTGCAGCATCACCTCCAAGTTGTTTATAATGGTCTCGAACATCAAACCCGAGTGAAAAGAAAATGTTGTTCCAAATGTACATTTGCATTTTAGCCTCCTCTCCTGGATTTATTGCCATCACATTTCCATCAATAACAGCCATAGCACCTCGCGTTGCTGCCGCTACAAAATCACTATGAACCTGCCAGGAAAGAAAATTTGAATTCATGAATTAGACTGGGATAAAAAATAGTTAGAAAATAAAAGAATTCACTGTCAACTAGGATAATGGACCTGCAACTGTTAAAATGCAAATTGAGCTGCATTGAACTTCAATTGCGATAATTCTGCAATTAACCATCCCAAAATCAACAAAAACGTCTGAATCAGGGTTTCATAGACTTTTCTGAGAGCGGATAACATGCAAAGGAACACTACATTCATAAATTTGAAAGATTTAAACTAGCTTTGTCGGTACATGGTTTGGAGTAGGGCAACCTTGCGAGTGTTCTTTGATTTATTTGGAATTCCTGCCAAAGAGCAATCATTTGATCACAGCCATTGTTTCGAGCAGCGTTGTTTTGTTTGTTTTCAACGAGAGCAAAGCAAAGCACTGACTAAAGAAGATGGCGTCGGCTCAGCTGGTCAGCAAGCTTGGTTCAAGGAGAGGATGATGTCACTGCCACTCTCATCTCGTAAGATGGGAGTGGGGGAACGGAAATCTCGAGCTAATTTAAATGAAGATCGTCATATTGTTGTTAATTAAAGATGTTCTCAGAGGAAGGTCTTATTTTACCTTGAAATCAGCATGCACATGAAATTCCAGTAGCCTATATCTTGATAAGCCTGCTAAATCTGTGGATTTAGCAGGCTTACCGGTGCGGAGTCTGTGTTCATTGAACAGAAGAAAGTCATGAGAATTTTATTTAATAAACTATTTAAGTATCCCTGCAGGCAGTTGTCCATCGGACATGCTTTATTCACTCTTTCGTCACTCTGCATCTTTGAATGTCTAAAGTAGGCAATAAATGATGATTTAATCTCGCCATCTAATCCGCTTCCCAGCCACAGTTATAATTCCAGGCATTAGAACATCAAAAACATCAGAATCTCATTATAGGAGTCCGAAAGCAATATCAAATTTGCATCTATTCAATTTCTCAATTTGCTGCCACTAAGACTAGAACTCCTGTTCCACGACACAGGTTCCGCATCATTCATGTTGGAGCTATAACAGCTCCTACTTTGAGAAGCTTTTTATAGTATTGATGAGCTGCTTCATGCTAATTAGTTGTTTTGTTGTTATTGTAATATTTTCATTTGTTATTGACCTATATAATGTCTGTAATTGCAGTTTTTAGGTATGAGAATTTTAAAATAAAATAAAATAAATCCACTGGTCTTCAGAGGTGCTAGCTTATCATCGCAAATTGCCTACTAAATTCAAATGGAAACAAGAGAAATTTTTGTGTCTCTAGCATGCTAAAAGCGATGATAAATGAGGAGTTGCTTGACAAATTGACGGACAGATAAAACTATGAAATACTAAAACGCTTACTTTAAAAACTGCTCTTTCCCTTAGGAGTCGCTCAGGTAGATTTTTTCTTGGTAGCTCTCGCGTCGTTTGTAATTCTTCATTCCAATCCCTTGTTTGCCCAGGAATATGTTCTTCATAGCCTAATTTTGATGAGAAAGCTGCAAGAGGAAAATATATTTTATTATTGACTGAAAATACTCCTTAATTTATGACAGAAACTCATTACTCGCTTTCTTGCAAGAATGCTGACTGAAAGTATTTTCTTTTAGAGGAGAAATTTACAAAATGGAACAATCTACAACTTCCTGAGCTGCCTGCAACAAAAATTTTGACTCAGAGATGGTATTTAAAGATAATATTTACAGCTTGCTTTATGATCAGATGATTTACAACCTACAAATTAACAGCTAATTAATGGATTCCTTTGAAAATCTGCAGCTATCAGAGCATTGTAGCGATGCTAGAAAATGGTGTAAAAAATCTGCAGACATCAATGTTGAGAAATAAAAATTTTGAAGCTTAGAAAAACGGCTTATATTTTTGCTTGTTTAGAATACTATAAGAACATAGCAAATCAGTTGTGAAAAAAAGTATCACTCTTACTTAATACTTAATAGTAAGAGCTAGCTCATACAGCATAGTAGTCATGTTCATACATGGATGAATATTTTAACAAGCTATGACTATGGGAAGAGAAATTTGAAAAACTTCGAAATGATTGAAGGGTAAGATGACCCTTAGAATGAGGGCTGCGTTTAGGTACAGAGAGATTTTTGTGGTATTTGTAGCAGACAAGTAAAGCTAAACACAAGCCACTTTGAGAAGATAACATATAATTTTTAAAATTCCATTAAATTGAATTTCCACAGGGACAAAAAGCTCACAGACAGGAGACTTCTGAGAGAAGGAAAATCAACTTACTATCTTCAGCTCGGATGGAGTCCACCGTGTGATCCAAGAGAGGGGAAGCCCATGAGTACAGCTGGTAAGGTGTAGCAACACGCTCAAATGGATGTCTAGACGTTCTCTGTTTTTGTAGGATTGAGAAGTTCTTTTTGAAGCCAGGGCTGATCTGATTTAATAACTCAATGAGTGAATGACTGAGATGACTAGGTGTTAGTGGCTTTGGATTAAATTCTTCTTCTGACGATCTGAGGAAAGCAAATGCAAAATATATCAATCAAACCAGTGAAATTAATTGATACAACTTAAGAAATAAAGAGACTAATATGCAGGAGCTCCTACTTTACTTAACCCATTTGTATGTATTGACGAGTTTGCTCATCATGATGCGCCTGGGACGCAAATGCATTAACGAGTTGACTTGAGCCATCTTGCAGCAAAGAGGGGTGATTGTTTTTGTCAATTTTCTCCAATTTTTTGATAGCACTATTAGCATTGTACTAGATACCATTTTGGAGTATTCTGTTACTAACTTGAGTGAATCCTAGTGATTTTTTTTTTCATAGAGAGCAACTAAGTATTTTTCTATATTAAAGACATCATTCATTTCTAGGTGCAGCAGGTAATTTTATCATCACATGCGAACAAATTCACAATAAATCACTGCAGAGATGCTGATTACATTATTTGGAGCATTGGTGCTATGCCATAGGTGTAACTGGAGGATCGCAGTTGAACCTTCATATACTTGATGTGGCTGAGTATATCAACAAACAAGTTTCTTAAGTTTTCAATTGAAACAGAACCAGTAAACACTTTTAGAAAAGCTGAGTACTTACTGATTCAAGAAGAACCCACGAGTGCAGGCAGTGATGTGAAGACGTTTGTCTTCTAACGTTACCACATACAGGTACATTAAATCTCCATGTAATTTGCGGCAACCAGGAGGAGGGTTCCAACCAGACGTCGTTAGAACCTAAATGGACAGAGAATGAATTAAAAATATGTATTAACAGAGCTTGTTCTTTACTTTGAAACGGATAATATCTAAGGCTAAATAATTTTGTTAAGACTGAAAACCTACCGTGTGTGAAATAATAGGACATAGAAGATGCAGTTGGCAAGTTGCAAACATTCTTCAGATTGAAAATTAAAACACTTCTGGATCTTAAAATTACCTTTTACAATAAAATTTTAGTGAAATGCTTTTGCTCCTCACTGTTATGACACTAATTTGATCTTAAAATTACAGTTCTCGATAGATCTTCAATATACATATGTATTTCTCTTGCTCCTTGCTGTTATAAGGCTAGTCTGTTAGACAATTTGGTCACTTCCATTCACAAATCTCAGAACTCTTTCTGCTTTCATTCAGCGCCATAATGTTAATCTCATGGAGCTTTAAATCCAAATTGATATTTTCGAGGCACTGAGAATTCGTTACACTTCATAACTTTAAAATGAGTCTCAAGCTTTCGATAAAAATTATGAGTCGCTTTTTTAATTTTTCTCAGTTTAGGTATGGGTATACTTTGGATAAATATCTTGTCACACTAAACTTGATTGTTTCTCTTTTTCTCCCTGCAGCTTAAAACTGATTTTTTCAGGGGAGATACTTTTGTCAAAGGGGTTGAGCAGTCATGAGATGATAAAAAAAAAAAAAAAAAAAAAAAAAATGTGAAAAAATCAATCTCAATGAATTAAAGTGCAATTATTTTAATATTGCTCCTACAGTCTCAAACAATAAACTTGAGAAAACTTACCTTAATACACTGAGGCCCTTTCTGTTCCTTGCTGAAAGGATGTAGAGGCATTAGGGGTCGTTCCTTACACCCAGGCATAATGTATTCGGGGGGAGTACAATCAACACTTTCTTGACTCTTCTTTTTCTTCTCTGGAGAGGGGGAAAACAGAAAATAATAATTAATAATTCATTCTTCTATTTACAGTAAAAATTTCATTGTATACAAAAAATTTAGGGTCAACTTCTTCAATTCCAACCATAATATTCCAACTATTCATGATGAATTTTGGAACATAAAGGAATGCTGTTTGGGGACATGACAAGAAAAATCCCATTTGCATCCCATGAGACTTTACAGGGAAAACTTATTTTCTTGTTAGTCGACATCATGGGTAACTTTTGCCAAATTTGATCACTCGGGCTTAAAGTGGTATCTATATCACTTAGACCAAGTTAAAAATTAATTGTTTTGATGTGTTTGTTTCTTTTGCTTCCATTCAAATGGAGATCTAGGGAGCAAGTCAAGATGGCTTTATCATCAAGATGTGGATCGTACATATAATGTGTAAAAGTGGGGAGATTCCACCTTTCTGGTTACTCCATCTAGAGAGTATTAACGAAGTTACGAGCTCGTAAAAAAGTTAATCATTGTAGCAGACTGCAGCGTGTTTCTATCCAGCTGTCAAGAGGTAAAACCACTAGCTGCGGGTCTACCATGGAAATAATCACACAATGCGTACTAGAACCTTATCATAAGGTAGCGACATTGTGACAATTATACAGCCATCACACTTTGACATTTTATTGTAAGTCTAGTGTGTATACATATGCCACAACATGATGACAGGAAATGTATTAACAGTGCTTTTATATTTGAATCAAGATGCAGAAGAAGTAGATCATACCTAGGATATCACCTTGAGTGATAACATTTAAAAATGCCAATGAGCAACAATCAACGCCATTATATGCGTCTGCAGGATCTAATGACTTTAACAAATCTCTCACATGCCTGACATGTATTCGAGCCTCCCGCATTGTGTATGGCTCTTCTACAACCTAAAAAGAAAAATGTACAACTTCAGTTATAGTCAATTAAATGAAAATTAATCTTAGGTAAAGGGATTTCTTATTTTACTGATCAACTGGGATTTTAGCCCCACTTATCCTGTTGGTTTATAATAATGATCACATGTATTTCGACAGGTAAGGTTAATCAAAACTTCATTTTAGGGGTGTTCTTTTCTTCTTCACATAGTGCGGAACAATTGAAGAAGCTTCGAATGATTCTTCTTGGGATTTGGTTAAAGTCAAATTTATGTCACATCCGTTGAATCGAAAATTCAGACATTGAGTTTGGGCGAACAACTATGAACCACTAGACATGGTCTGAGTTGGAAAAAACTGTCACCTGTTTTCTCTTCAGAATCTTACGTAGAAAACGATTCACACAAAGAGAAGTTCAGAAATGAATTCCTGAGAGATATCAACATGTATTTTTGATACAGATCAAATAGACGTTAGATTATACAAATGATATCAGTTGTATTTTCCCATTAAAAATATGTTAATTGTTAACACTTGTACCTTGTTTGGTAGTTGATTTTTGAACTTCCTGTAGGGTGATTTACACTATGAGTGATGAACAACTATGAACCACTAGACATGGTCTGAGTTGGAAAAAACTGTCACCTGTTTTCTCTTCAGAATCTTACGTAGAAAACAATTCACACAAAGAGAAGTTCAGAAATGAATTCCTGAGAGATATCAACATGTATTTTTGATACAAATCAAATAGACATTAAATTATACAAATGACATCAGTTGTATTTTTCCATTAAAAATATGTTAATTGTTAACACTTGTACCTTGTTTGGTAGTTGATTTTTGAACTTCCTGTGGGGTGATTTACTTTTCTCGAGATGCAATACTTTTTTGGTGATTTTCTACAAATTCTATTGTAACTTCTTTGAATTTTGCTATTTATGATGGGCAAATAGTTGTCCAGGCTCATGAACAGGCAAATGGAAAAACCACCTTTAACCAAGAAAACTGGTGACTGCACATTGTTTTTGGCTCAATTGAAGAGCTATGGTTAAAACAAACTTAATTTCTAGAGCTACAGATGGTGTACGATTTTCAAAATACCTTGATTACAGATCCTTCATTTAATCCTTCAATACTTTTTAAGTCTGCAAAGTTATCCAATGTATTTCCATCCAGCTGGAGTGAGAAACAAGTACGGTGGCAAGTGTCTTCTCTGTCCATTAATAACTGGTGAATTTCTTGAACCATTTCCATACTTGAGACCTGAATAATGAGAAAAACAAAGATTTAAGGCTTAGATCTTTGACACAAACTTGAAATTCTTTCAGTTATAAAGATATAGTCCTTCTACAGAATCTGATTATAAATTCTTCAGGTGTTCTCTAGGTATTGAAAAAAGTCGATCGAATTTTGGCTACATTATGGTTTTTTAGAGAGTGGAGTAAACTAGAAATAGAGACTTGAGATAAATCTGGTGTGAAATGACAGCTTCAGTTTATGTTCATGATATTTGATTTGGACAAATGCACAGCACATGCTGTGATAGTTAGAGAATAAATTGGCTTAAATAATTTACTAACTGCATATCAATATCTTGACTTGTTGACATATTTTGAAGAGGAATTACTCTATATTTATTTCAACCTCTTCTACTATTACCAGATTAGTATTTCACATAATAGACTCTTGCGACCCCTGCCCCGTTATGATGAACTGCCACACAAGGGATTGAGTTAATAGGAGAGGTCGGACAAAATGAGGAAACTTGAAACGCTTATGGCTCCATGTAAACAAACATTTGAGGTTCTAAGGGTAGTTTCATTGGTTTCCTCACGTTTTCCTCCAGAATAGCACCCCTTGAAAGACGTGACCAGGGTGTCTACTAAAACAGGCTAGCTAAAAATCAGTCCTTTTAAATTTTTCAGTACATTCCCACGAAATTCAGTACTTTTCCAGTACCTTCAATTGAAGAAATTCGAAAATTTCAAAAATTCGCATTTCTTGCTCAAATTGCGACAAAAATGACGAAAATTCCGGACCTTCTTGCGTGATTCCGCACTTTTTCAGTACTTCCAGACCGCCCTGAAAAAATCAGTACTTTTCCTAGACTTTCAGGGAATTCCGGACTTGTAGACACCCTGGTGACGAAATAAACATCATTTGCAGTTTTAGTCGAAAATTTCAGGTCCGACCTCTCTAATTGACTCGATCCACTGTGTGCCGGTGGAGTACCCGTGAATTTGAAGGGGCACCGCACGAACTCGGCTGGTTGCATGCCTTCCGAGATTGAAGGAGCACGACAAGCAGACGCGACTATCGCTGAAAACCAAGGCCGGATTTACCAATAGGCTACATAGGATACAGCCTACGGCGCAACATTTTGAGGAGCGCAACATTTTTGAAAATTTATTAAAAAACGTGTTTTATTAAAAAATGTCTACGTTGTGGTTGACAGAGGTGTTTTTTTAAAGGTGAATTTGAACATTTCCCGGATACCTAACATCCTCCTTCTGATCTGGAGGCAGGGATTCAATGTCTAGGGATTTATCCCTAGATCTAGGGATTTATCCCTAGATCTAGGGATTTTCCGGAATTTCTAGGGATCTAGGGATTTTTCAGGAAACCTAGGGATTTTTTTTGATGAGGTAGAGTAAGCAAAAATCGACTTTTTAACCTCAATTCTAGCTTCGACAATTGAAAATATTTTTTCATCTACATTTTGTAGGCCTTTTTGGCAACACTATTTTCCCCGTAAATAAGCCGGAAATTAAAACGATTGCGTCGCTCGACGTACTTGACATTCAACTGCATTCAACGGTAAAAAAACAATAGTAAGAACTCAACTAATATTCTTTCATTTCATTGGTCTGGATTAGCACTGCTTTCAGAGAGCCGCAAAATTCAAACGAGCCAATCAGATTTAAATATTGCAAATCGATACATCGAATGACGTCATGATTCTTCGTTGAAAATGGCGGTTTTTTGCAAAATCTAGGGATTTTTGGGGATATTCGAGCAAATCTGGGGATTTAGGGATTTTCAGCGAAATCTAGGGATTTTTTATATCGGAACACTGTCTGGAGGGGAGGGGCGTCTGGGGAGGACTCCCCCCTCCCCCCGCGAGAGCGCTAACTTTTAGAGGCGCCACCCTGAGTTTAGCCTAGGGCGCTGAAAATGTAAATGCGGCCCTGCTGAGAACTCACCTGGATGTGGAAAGGTTCTGATCCGGGAGACACGAACTTGACGGTGAAGCCCATGTCCTGGATGAAGACGACTTCGGGCTCCTCTTTCTTCTCGGCGGATTTCTCGCTCGCCTCCACTTCTCCTTTCTCGACGGTCGACGAGGACTCCTCGTGCTTGGAGCCTGAGCAGCAGGTGTCTTTCTTCGTGCCCTCTCCTTCGCCGTTGACGGAGACGTTGTTGTTGACCGAAGTGACCATGCTCGCGCCCTTCTTCGAGCCCGTCTGCTTGACCGGCGAATCTTGGCGTTCCTCGCTCGAACCGTTCGTGTGGTACCCGTTCGTCATCGTTTTGTTGTTGTTGTCCGGGATACCGTTTGACACAGCCATTGTTTTGATTTCTTTGGTAACACCACCGTTCACTCCATCTGCCAACAAAAAAAGTCAAAAGTTTCAGTCAACACTCAGGTGAAGAGGATTGTTGACAGTGCGCCAACGCGCCAACGAAATCGGTCACGGCGCCTGAAAATGAAGGCTCTGCGTCATCGTGGCCCCTAAAAATTGCCCCCCCCCCAAAAAAAAAAAAAAAAAAAAAAAAAAATCCTTGTTTTCCTGTACGGTGATTTTTCGAAATTTCCCCCGAGTAACAGCTACTAGTTCTGTAACTAAAACATCATGCGTCTGACTTGCCACTAAACGCGCCAAGATACATGGGCGAAAAGTCAATTTGGCCCCTAAAAATCGAGCTTGATGCGCCACATGGCTCCTGAAACTCCAGGGTGAGTTCCGAACACTGATCGTTGAACATCCATCGATCGAAAGGACGTGTTTCTGCTAGACGGAACCGGAGACAGGAGGGAAAGAAGGGGTGTGCTCGTTAGTTAAGGACTGTAAGAATGGTTGGGAATTATAAAGCGCCGGTGACGTCAGTGTCGACGACCGGGCTTGACGAGCTTAACGATGATGCATTAGCTCATGAGCCCTGTCCATAACGCTCTTGTAACATGCCCACGGCTCATGAGATAGCACACGGTTGGCGCTTATTTCCGTTCGACTCAATGTAAATTCCCACTTTTCCATTTTGCAAAAGGAATCACGTCCACTTTTACACTGTTTCTCGTGCAGCTCACCACGAGCACACCCCGTCTTTCCCGCACGTCTTTAGTTCCGTTTAAAGCAGAAATAGTCCATTAATCATTATTGCAGGAATGCATAAAAACTTCTCGACCACGTGGCCGGCTCCGAGAAATGGTTTTAAAAATGGGAAAGCCGGCGCGCTGTAGCGTATGTTCCGTGAAATCGAGGTGAAAAACGCGCGTTTCTTACAATACTGCCGTGGAAAGCACGTTTTCTCGCAAAATCGTGGTGATTTGACAAATATTAGGAGCAAATCAAAGGGAATCGCTACAAAATTATTGAGGTGCAAAGGGTTTCTACGATGGGGAAAACCAAGGACTTATGCATAGCAATCTTGAAAATATCGAGTTGAAAAAAAGCGAAAGAAAGTCTACTTTCCAATGCAATCTTCGGAGGGCTCTATGGGATATCAGTGAACTTTTCATGATCCTAACTCTCTATACCATAGGTATGTAGCTGTTTGTCTGCACGTTGGAAATAAGTCGATCAAAACCGTGGTCGGACTAGTGGGAAAAGGGGCGGAAGGCGTACACTTCTAGAGGGCCTCGGCCCCACACCAGGGGGGCCGGAGGGTACGGAATGCCCCCGAGAAGACTGGGCCTGGGGATCCTCCTGACTAATTTTAAAAAGTCTTCATCGGAAGACACATTTTCGTCAAAAAATACGAGAAATACCAGGGAGTCTAGCAACTTGAACAATCGAGAGCTATCGGGGAATTTTTGCAGCATCGACAAAAACCTTTAAAAACGTCGTGAATTTGAATTTAACTCTTTCTCAGTTTGACCTTAGTTTTTAGGATAAGAGACAGGAGCTCCCACACGGAGAAAAAAACCCCGTGCGTAGGACCCGAAGTTTAGGTCATATGGATCTCTGAAGTTTTCAGATTGAGCATCTGAACACTTAATGTCTAGCTGTCGAGGTTCGGATCACACATCTGAAACTTCAGTTCTTACATCTGAAGTACTTCATATGTGAGAACCGAAGTTTTTCGGATGTGAGAACCAAAGTTCTACGGATGTGAAAACCGAAGTACTTCAGACATGAGAACTGAAGTTTCAGATGTGTGATCCAAACCTCAGCAGCTGGACCTTAAGTGTTCGAATGCTCAATCCGAAAACTATAGAGATCCATATGACCTGAACTTGGTGGTCCCACGCACGAAGTTTTTTTCTCCGTGCACGTGGCCGCATAGTGGCACCACCCTCAAATGTGACCACAGCTCGAGGAAGAGAGTAGGAATAATTCACCAAGCGTGGCGTGGAACGGTGATCAAGCCTCACGGTCGTAGTTTGCCTTCAGTTTTCAATGTAGGCAACACGAGCTTCCACGTGATCGAATAGTGGTATCCAGCGCCGGACAGGTGGAAAAAGGCCCGGATGGCGTGTACTCTTAGGGGCCACTTCTTTGTGGGAAACTCTTTATTCCTAAATTTCTGTACTTACGTATCGACCCACTCAGTAGCGATGCCTAGGTTAGAGGGGGTATTTTTATTTCGGGGGCTCAGGTCTGTTCTTAGCCTGAACTGATGAAATCAGAAACTTCAATAAATTCTACACACTTTTAACGAAGTTCTGTTCTGAAAAAAAAGCATCCCCTTTAAAAAGGTAATTTAAAATTCATTATCAAAAATGTTGGTAGAAATTTTGGTGTCGATTACATTTTCCTGAAACTTGATTCGCCGTCAATTTTCGATAGTAAAACAAAAGAAATCCGTGTTTTTCGATTTGCCTGACGTTTTCCTGACACGGAAATCGTTTGCAAAAAAAAAACAGGGTATCTACTAAAGCAGGCTGTCCAAAAATCAGTACTTTTACGGTACTTTTTCAGTACATTCCCAAGGAATTCAGTACCTCCTTAATAGAGATATTCAGTTCGTTTTCAGTGCCTTACTTCAAAAAATGTCAAAAATTTGAATATCTCTCTCAAATTCAGACAAAAATGACAAAAATTCCGGACCTTCTTGCGGAATTTCCGCACTTTTTCAGTACTTCCCGACCGTCCTTAAGAAATCAGCACTATTTCCGGACTTCCCGGAAATGGAGATGTTGCATATGTGAGGAATTTGCGATTTGACTGTTGAGTCTTATGTAAAAGTTCGCGAGAAACACGATAGTGCCACTGGTTTTCTCTGAATACAACTCCCAAACTCAAAAAAAGCTCTCAAGTTGAGGCCAAAATGGAGGGGATATCCCACGCTACCCTGAGAGTCCACATCTACATCAAAACAAACTCTCCATGCAAAGATAGGGAGCAAATACATTAGCAGGGTTGCCGTGTTTTCAGTTTTGGAGTCCCCAAATAAAGTGGCAGCCCTGTCAATGTATTTGCTCCCTATCTTTGCATAGAGAGTTCGTTTTGATGTAGACGTGGACTCTCAGGGTAGGGTGGGATATCCCCTCCATTTTGGCCTCTTTTTGAGCTTTTTTTGAGCTTTTTTGGAGCTTGGGAATTGATTTCAGAGAGAACCAGTGGCACCATCATGTTTCTCGCGAACTTTTACATAAGAATCATCAGTCAAATCGCAAATTCCTCACACATGCAACATCTCCATTCCGGACATGTAGACATGCACCCTGAAAAATCTCCTGTCATTTCCCGATTTCCCAGGTCGTTAGACACCCTGTCTATCGCTTGCGGTCACCGGGTATCTCTTTCGGATCTCAATGTTTTTAAGTGCGTACTCCACAGCGGGTTGGGTTGAATAATCACGAAACGAGAAACCTAGAAGTGAACTTGATTACTTAAGTGACTGGAAGCTTCAACCGAGCAGGTGGAGGGGGATGAGAACATAGAGTACGCAGCACGCAACGAGCTGCGTCTCACCAAGTCACCAGCGCGTTTCTGATGACAGCTTGACGCAACTGGTCGGCATCCGACTTGATGAATCAACAGACAATTGAAGTAAGTCCATTACGCTCGAATCGACGACAACCAGGCGTCGGCTCCCAGCAAACGGAAATTAAATGTTTCAGAGCCTCCGAGAAACGGATTTGGAACCACGAGGGAAGCTCATCAATGACTTCGATAGCGGGCCGAGGTTCTTGGAGAAAATTACCCTGTCGAGTGTAGAGTCCTTTTGTACTGAGAGTTAAGACAATACAAATTCATTTCTGATTGGTTCCCGTATTTTAGGCCTCCACAGTGTCACAGACGGGAAAACGAATTACATTTTCACCGATGGAGAATTTGCAGGTGTCTGAAATTTGACGAATTCCGTGTTTACGTGGAAACTACTGAGTGAACTGAACACGAGAATACCATTGGTTCATGAATTGAACAATTATTGGAGAGGATATGACAAAATGATGTAATCTGCTAAAATACGTGTGTTTAAATGGGAAATGCCGCCAGATGACGTCACTAGGATGTGCATTTACTCACTTATAAATCAATTTCCAGACCGTTTCTCATTACAGAAAAAATCATGAAAAATACAATGAAATCAGCTCTTTAAGCACTTTCAGATAAAGCAATAAAAAATTATAAAGCACGAGCGAGCGATGCATCCCGAAATTGTTTCTAACTACTTATTCTGAATCAAATTTTGTAATGCAATACCTGACGCGCTAAGAACTAGTGTAAAAATGTGCATAACACCCCCCCCCCCCNCCTATCGAGAAAAATGTCTTTAATGTTTGAAATGATGACAGGCTACATCGAAGTGGTGCTGGAACGCATAAACAAAGTCTGCAAGTGTACCTACCTCCAGGCTGTGGCTTCATGAGTGCCAAAAGGTACCCTGCCGTGGTAAGGAAGAACGCCGTATGAACATTCGAGAGTTGCCAGCTTTCCCTTGATAAAACGTGTATTTTTGACGCAATTCAGGCGTATTTTTCCTCGAAATGTTTAGTTATTTTAGAGTAAATTGCTTACAAAATCGTCCGAAAATTGTGGGAGAAAATATTTACATTTCCCCCAGTAAATTCGGTTTTTATCGAAGGAGGTTCGGCAACGTCTGTAGGCTCATACGGCGTTCTTCCTCAACACGGCGGTACCGTTCCCCGTACCGACAGGCGCGTTTTCTTCACCTGATGTTACGCTACAACTCGTAGGGTCCTTGCATTTAAACTAACTACGGAGTCCGAGTTTGAATTTAAAATTAGATGCCAAGATATTTTTGTATTCGTTTCTTTGGCCTCCTCTCCCTCCGCCCTCTCGTGCCATTCAGAAGCTGGCGATGCAGCGATAGTCAATGCTTTTCGCTGCTTCCGAACGGTCTACTCTTTTCTTGTCCCTTTCTCCCCCCCTCCTCGCCCCGGTCCCCGTACCCCCGCACGTCCCGTCCCCCTAA